ACAAACTCTGCTACTAAGGATAGGTTGTGGAAGACAGTTTCATGTCCAGGTCATACACCACGGCAAGACTGAGCTCAGAAACAAGATATAAGGTAGTTATACTGCATCAACGAGGTTTCTCCCAGGTAGAGATTTCAAAGCAGAACGGGGGTTTCAAGATGTGCTGTTAAAGCTCTTTTGAAGAAGCACAAATAAATGGGCAAAAGTTGAGTTCTACAGACACAGGGATCAGCCAAGAAAACAATACAGCAGATAAAATACACATCATGCTTACGTCCCTTCGACATCGAAAGATGTCTAGCAGTGCCATCCGCACCAAACTGACTGAAACCAGTCAGACCCATGTACACCCATCTATTGTCTGGAGGAGTTTGGCCATAAGTGGTCTTAGTGGAAATATTGCAGCCAAAAAGCCATACCTCAGAAATGGGGAAAACAACTCACCTACACAAAAACACAAGGACTAGTGAAATATTTGGCTGTAGCAGGAGGCAGGCAGTTTGTTCGCTGTACAAGGAGTGTCTGCAAATATTAAAGCATAAAGTGCAGGTTCCTTGAAAGTCTGGGGCTACATTTTTGCAAATGGAGATGGCGATTTGGGCAGGATCACTGGTTTCTTCAATGCTGAATACAGGCGGACACTTCTCCATTATGCCATATCATCAGGGAGATGTATGATTGGCTCCAAAATGCATTCTACTGCAAAACAATGACCCCAAACAAACAGCCAATGTCACTAAGAACTACCTTCAGTGACAACAGGAGTCCTGGAAGTGATGGTTTGGTCCCCACAGAGCCCTGATCATATCATTGAGTCCGTCTGGGATTACATGAAGAAAAAGATTTGAGGCAGCCCACATCCACAGAAGATCTGTGGTTGGTTCTCCAAGATGTTGAGAACAACTTATTTGCAGAGTACCTTCAAAAACTGTGTGCAGATGTACCTAGAAGTATTTATGATGCTTTGAACACAAAGGGAAGTCATAGCAAATATTGATTTGATTTGGATTTTTCTTCTCTGTCCATTTACTTTCCATTTTTTTTAATTGCTAAAAAAAAAAACAAAAAATTATTAACACTTATATTTCTGAAAACATTCTTAATTTACAGCACTTTTTCATACCTGCCTAAAAGTTATATTCACTGCACAAGCACACACATACATACACACACACACACTTTTGTACCACCTTGATTTGTTTTCAAACAGATGGGGCAATATAAAATATGTGTCTACCATGTATTTTAGTAGTCACATGTGCAGAAACATCCTAATGATTTTCTCACAATTAAAAGTGTGTTCATGGCCCAGGTAAGCAGAAGGAAGGTACAGATGAAAAATATACACCCGTAGGCGGACTCATTAGATATACCTATAGAATAAAGATACATGGGATATTTTAATTTTTTTTCCTATTAAAAAAAAATTATTGACTGCTAAAGCTGGCCATACACTAGTAGAATTTTGTTTGGATCATTTCATTTTAAGAACGTCTGTTCAATTTTCTAATCATTACTACCGTAATAAATGTTAATTTTTGACCACAGTAGTAAGAAGATTCGAATGAGCAGGATGAAATCTTATTTCTTCAATGAACGAATATCTAACAATGTATCTGGATTTATTGGGGAAATTACACCACGAAAATCCAATGTTAAAAGCAAGTACTTTTAAATGGCATTTGTCAAATCATTGAATTTACTAAGAATTTTTTTTTTTTAAAAATGTTCATTCAAAAATCTACAAGTATATGGCCACCTTAATTGAGCTATTAATTTGCTTGTAAGTGGTAAGTAATACTTACTTGTAAGTAGGGATTGTAAATGATCACTATACACTTAGAACAAATTGTTCTTTAGGAAACAAAGTGCTTCTTATAGAAGCTACACAAGTGGCATCTTTTAGTTATCAACTGAAGCATTCGTATGAGTGACTGCTGCTACATGCTACTTGTGTAGCTTACTCCATAGGAAACCATTTCTTCAATGCTAGCCATTTTTAAAAATCTCCTGTATGGCTCAAGCCTTACGAGGTACCTGTCAAAAGGTTGTTAAATCTCCCAGTTGCAAGGGATTAAATGCACCCATGTAACTTAGCCATAAAGTGTACAAGATCAGCAACAATGCCTAGGTATAGTGTAGCATTCAAACGATGCTCAGCTATATAAAGGGACCTAAGATGAAAACATTCCTCATACCATTTAAACACTGTAATACAAGATTTAAAGGATAAGATCACCATGGGGAACATGTTCCACCAGTTTTTAGGGTGGAACATGTAACATGTTCCCATAGCCACCTCCCCTCCCTCTGACAGACAGTACAGGGAGACTTCTCCCTGTACTGTCAAATCTGAAAACAGCATGGCTGTGCAGGGCTCTGCCCACAAGGCCACATCATTCATTCACCAACTTCCATGAATTCACGTCACGACAAGCCTGTGGGCTTGTAGTTTTCAATGAACTACCATGGTGCTCTGGAGCGCCGTGGTAGTTCATTGAAGCTTCCTGTCACAATATCTGCTTGCTCATATATCCCATACCGCAAGCAGATATTCTGACAGGTCTGCAGGAGACCTGCATGGCATCAGCAATCTACTGATTGCTGGTGCAATGCTTCTGCAAAAAAAATGTGCACTTATTATTTTTGTCTAAAAGGTGACCTTCTCCTTTAACAACACATACAAGACAGATCCATAGATTTGTGGTTTGTAAGCCTCATTCCGACCCTATCAAATGCATGACAGCAGCTGAGATTAGTAAGACCAATTAAAGGTTTTTCTGTTTTTGTGATCATTCCCATTGTAGCCTAATTTTCCTATTCTTGGCTAACAAAAATGAAAGCTGGAGTGATCTTTGATGTGTGTTCAAGGATGTTCCTGTGAACACCAATGTTGTAAAGTGTGAGTAGCTACAGACTTCCTATCAGCTTTAAGCAATTGGCAATTCTTCAATTACCTCTGTCAACCATGTGTTTTCACCAAGAAAACTACAGTTCACAGGATGTTTTGTTTCTCACACCATTCTGTGTCGATGTTGTCCTTGACATTTAAAAGTCAGCAGTTTGAAAAACTGCAACAAAAACATCTGCTTCCCCAAATCATTCCGTGGACAGATGCTGTAGATTAAGCTACTTTATAACTGAATTTGCCAGCTACATTCACTACTATATATTCTATTTACATTATATACAGAATTGCCTTTTAAAGGGTTCACCAAGTAAGTTTTGCCATGCAGAAGGTGCCCTAAAGTACCAGAACAGCAAGTGGTAATAAAACTCTGCAAGGGCACACTATATTAAAGCTTTGGGTAACACTATGCTAAAAGTACACACACATCTTCAATTATACACTCTGATTTACTGGCTTAATTTAATTTTTATTCCCAATCTGACACATCTTAACATTATTCAATCGACTAAACATAAGAGAAACAAGGATTTCTGCATTGTCATTGTGTTGAATATATCAGTGCAATCATGTCTAATAAATGTAGAGGAGAGAATAAATAGAAAAAGCAGTATGTATTGAAAGAACTCCACCTTTTGTTCACTGGAACATCAAGTGCTGTACTGAAAAATCACCATTGTTTGAGGACAAATGCAAGAATATTTCTTTCCAAGGCTGAGATGACATCAAGAGGAAAAAACTCACAAAGATGACATCCAGAACTTTTTTTTTTTGTCTGAAAATTTTATTTCAGTTCTCTGAACACTCTAAAGCCACAATGCTTCAGATGTAACACAAGTGTCCAGATAGGATTAGCAAAAAAAAAAAATTATATTTTTCTAAATTACAAATTTGACTTTTATGTGTAAGAGCTTCAGAGGAAGAACAGAAAATTAGACACACAACAATGGGAGGAAAAAAAACAAAAAAAAAGTCATGCAATGGCAGGCAAGATGTGAAAAGCCACCTGACGCCACAGATTTTGTACATCAAAGAATCATCAGAAAGAAAAAAAAAAAAAAAAACTCCTTAATAAACCTGTACATCCAAATACATTTTTGGGATCTAAACCTAAGTTACATTATTTAATGTTATATACACATCTTCCCATATTTACGTAAAGCCTTCATTGAAACCCCAACAAAAAAAAAAAAAAAAAAAAAAAGAAAAAAAAAAACATAAAATTATTCCAAAAAAAAAAAAAAAAGAAGTACATCGAAAGGATGGGGGTTACTTTCAGATTCCGTTAAAATGTCTTCTGTAGACCTCATAAGGGTCATAAAAAAACATATTTTACTATACAGTGAAATACAGTGCCGAGAACAGCTGTTTTCAGCCCTCTTTGGATGGATTCTTAAAATGCAGTTTCATTTTATTCTTTCAGAGATAAATATGTGGGGAATTGGTCCAAATACATTGAAAGCTGTTATTTTACATGCAGTTTTTTTTTTCAGTTGTTGTCTTGCCGCCTTCAGAATACAAAAATGGATGCAGGTTTACTGCACGCCACAAACTGGTAGGAAACCCACAGGCAAAATATAAACAGACATTTCTAAGCATCAACAAAAATGAAAGAAAAAGGAAGATTCCTGGAACAGCCATTTTATAGAGTGTTTAGAAGGTACCAAGAAGACTACTAATCAACTAGTTTGAGCAGCCAAGATTCCCTCTTATTTATTGAATGGAACAAATGCTTTAAATAAACTGCGTGTCCTCTTCACTGAAGAGAGCTAGTCTATTCATCTTTTATGAGCTAGTTTTTTTTTCTTTCTTTTTTTTTTGGGGGGGGGGGGGGGGGGGAGATTAGTCATGTACTGTAGTAATGTTTACTGCATAAAATCCAAGCATTTGCTGTGACCAGTTGGAAAGAGCAGTCTGTAAGAAAACTAGGATCAATGAAAGAGATGCCATTTTAAGCCATCCACAGAACGGAGACCAACACAGTACCCAGTGTTAAAACCCAATCTCTTCTGGCACTAATGTGCATGTTTCACCCCCAGCCCTGGAAAAAAAAGTAGCAACTGATCCACAGTTCCCGTTCCCGCTGGATCTCTCAGTCAATTTTCACATTAGTGTAAATTTTCCGGACAAAGGCACTTGTTCCCATGTAACCAATCGCTCCTATTGGAGGGCAGGATTAAAGAAAAAAAAAATTAGTCATCTCAGACTGTGATATAGGCAATATCAATTGAAGTAATCAGTACATTTGCAAATAATTTTATAAGGAAAAAGTTCTACTTTATCAATACAATATACTGTAGGTATACAATACACACAATAAAAAGGCTCAGACTCCTATGGGCAACAAAAACTTTATTTGATACGCATATGACTTGATAAAGATTGAGGGCCCATTCTTCCCTAGGCAGCTCATACACCTAAACTGGCTGCCAAAGTACCAAAATGGCTCCAAAACTGGACAAGCTCCTTTTTCCCTCTAATGCAGTGCACCACAATGTACAACAAAGCATAACTGTGCGTTATAGTGCACTGCAAGGCATGTGTCTTAGGTGCATTTTGCCTTAGTGTGTTATGTTGCTATTAGAGATGAATACTTCTTTAATTGATAACATGAACACTGGCAACAAAATGTAAATTTGCATTAAAGACTGGTTTAATGAACTTGTCATTGCCACTCACTTAACCACAAACCCCCCGTTTACATTATTATACCTAACTCACATGCACTCCCGTGCCACAGCAATGTGAAATACCTAGTATTTCTGGGTATGGTGCAACTCTCACTTTTCTCCCACAATGCAGCACTGGGTAGCTGAGGAGCAAATTGCAAGGTTTGCTCTGGCAGCTGAACAGCATAGTGGGGGAGTGAACAGAAGCCAACTCAAATTTCAGAAAAACACTATTGAGGTTGAATAAAAACTTTAATCTGCAAACATCTTTCTATTGGATCTCAACACCAGTCCAAGCTCCTCTCCCATTGTCTTAAGAGAAGGACTGCTGTTCTCTGAGTTAGAAACGCATCTCTCTGCAGTAGTCAGAGATGCCTTATGCTGAGTCTAAGCTAGAGTTCTGCAATCAGCATGAATAGTGAGCTTTGCTGATTGCAGCACTTTGTAAGTCAGCAAGGGGAACATCAAACCACTGCAGAGATATTGCCGATTTCAAAGAGGCAGTCCTCTTCTGTAGCCTAGGGGAGAAGAGCTTTGACTAGTGCTGGGGCTTCATTACAAAGATAAGTGTAAGACACGTAGAGGTCCATGTTTATGCGGCCAGACCTCAACCCGACAGAACACCTTTGGGATGAATTAGAGCAGAGACCGATAGCCAGGATCTCTCATCTGACATCAGTGCCTGAGCTCACAAATGTGCTTCTGGAAGAACGGTTAAACATTCCCATAGACACACTCCTAAACCTTGAGGACAGCCTTCCCAGAAGAGTTGAAGCTGTTATAGCTGCAAAGGATGGGCCAACTCAATATTGAACCCTACGGACTAAGACTGGGATGCCATTAAAGTTCATATGCGTGTAAAGGCAGGCACCCCAATACTTTTGGAGATATATATATATATATATATATATATATATATATATATATATATATATATCCCCTTTGTGCAGCTAAAATCTAAAAATGGAACTCTTAAATTTGGAATGCCTCTATGCAAAACGACATACACTATCAAGATTTGAATAGTTTCCAACAGGTGTTAGTTTTATTTGCTGCCCATATTTACTGTATTATAAAGCAAACTTGGCACAAACAAATGTCTTGTGTAAAACACAGACACTATCAGTTTAATAGGATTGATACATAGCGGCAAATGTTTCATAATCTCAGTTTACGCATTGTCCTGAAATTGTGCAACGTGCACATACCTTTAATGTAAATTCTTTTAACGCAACAAATACACTGAAAAAATCTCTTCCTACATGTGCCAGAAATTAAATATTAACACATACTGTACATGTAATAAAGAGAACAAAACTTACCACACATAATTCCCAAAGCGGTGCTAAAAACTGCCATATATCCAAAGTAAAATGATGTCTGAAACAATCCATACATTCTGAACGAAACAAAAAGGAAAAAATTGATTTACGCATCAGTATTCATAAGTCTTCATACTGCTTACAACTGATAAGAACACCAAAGTGAGGGCAAAAATTCACAAACACCCATTATAAAGTCAATGCAAACAAATAAAAGTAAACGTTTGCAAAAGTAAAAATTTCTTATGCAATTAAAAACGATACATTTATGTGATGTGAATTTTTGGGGAATTGTATTGGTATGTAATATAAATTAAAAAAAGTCTACTGTAAAACAAGATTTATTAGAAGATTCCTGCTTTCATGTGGCAATAAAACCCCTAATGACATAAAATTCCATTATTATTACTACATGTTCCATTATTTCCATGATTTTAAATATAGGTTTACTTTAAAAAGGATCCACAATTGAAGTAAAAACACCAACTATTTAGACTAGCCTGTCTATCCCACCACACCAAGTCACTTTGTTGCTAAGCCAATTCCTTAGTTTTAGGGTGATTCCGCAACAGATGCGGTGAGAGCCTAGCTCTGCACTGAAGAGTTCTGCAATAAAATGCAGACATGCTGCATTTTATCGCAGCACACCAGACCAAAGCGCACTGCAATGTCACGTAGTGCGTCGCCCAACATTGCAATGAACGAAGTGTGCGTTTTGTACACTGCCCCCCAGTCAGCAGTCAATACAGAGCAGCTGGAGCACTGAACTGCTCTGCGATTTAACTTACAAGTAGGGATGCACTGAAATTTCAGTGGCCGAAATGTTTTGGCCATTGGCCGATATGAAAAAAGCACCGATACAGGTGCCGAAAAAACCCCGCCCCTCGCCACCACTGGCCTCTGCTCGGTAGTGCTCAGCCTTACCTGAAATACCATCGAACGATCCCAGCGCTGGGCATAGAGATTAGTGAAGGAAAGATGGCCTCCACTCATCTCTATGCCGGAGAGATGTCACTTCTGGTTCTGGCCATTTTTTTTAAAGCACTAGATCAATGCTGCTTTTTTTTTTTTTTTTTTTTTTGATCTAATGCTTTACATTGCAGAGGAGAGATGTGGGGTCTAATTAACCCCATATCTACCATAAAGAAGACCTGTCACTAATTATTTCTATGACAAGGGATGTATGCATTTCTTGTGATAAGAATAAAAGTGATTAAAAATTTCTTTTAAAGGGACAGTGCAAAAAAAAAACCCAAAAAATGTTTAAAAATTATTTAATGTGCCCCCCCGTCCTTGCACGTAGTGGTGAACGCATATGTAGGCCATACCCACATATGTAGGCCATGCCCACATATGTAACCCACAAACGTGATGTATCGTCACGAATGTCAGAGCAAGAACAATAATTGTCGCACTAGACCTCCTCTGTAACTTTACATTGCTAACCTGTAGAAATTTTTAAAGTATCACCCATGGAGATTTTTAAGTACCGCAGTTTCACGCCATTGCACGAGCAATTTCAAAACGAGACATGTTGGGTATCTATTTATTTGCAGTAACAGCCTCTTTCATATTTTACAAAACAATTGGGGTATATATTGTTTTTTTAATCAGTGTATTTTTTCCCCCCAAAAAAATATTAATTTTTAAAAACTGCGCATTTTGGTTTTCAGCCAAGTGCATTTTGAATTTTCATTTTCGATTTCGGCACCAGAATTTTTATTTCGGTGCAACACTACTTACAAGCAGTGTCAATTTGCCCTTACATACTAGGTTATACTCCCAGATCTCACATTGATGAATGTGTTCCCCTTAACAGGCGACATTACAAAGTCTGAGCAAGCTGACACTTGAACTCAGTCCTGCAACATCTCCCTCTGACCCAAAATACACTGCTTGGCCACCCTACTCCCAGATGGATTGCACAGCAAATAGACTTCCATAATAAAATCCCTCCACACACAAAGACAAAGCAGCACTTACTTTGTTTTGAAAAAGTAGTAGTAAAATGAATACATGTAAACATAGATTGCAGTGGAGGCAGCAGAAAGAAAACTTGTCCATTGCCTGCAAAAGGAAACAAACAATAAAAACTCACTGGCATCCTTTGTTATGAACCTATTTTCTGAAAGCAACAGTTACATACAATTTAATAAAGAATTAGATATCTTAAGATCCAAAAATAATCAGTGCTGTGAAGGTAATCTGATTCGATAATTTTTTGCTCATAGAATAGTACAATATCCTGAAGAAGTGTCCACTGTAGTGCCAGAAACCTTTTTGCTGGTGTGTTATACTATTCTTTTAGCAATAAATATTGAATCAATGAAGAATTCATTTCTCAGCTTCTCCTTCACATTTAGGAGCCTCTGCTAACATCACTTTCCCATTTTTGGGAACTCAAAGACCTCTTACTGCGAACAGACAAATCTTGAGACCACAGAGCGTAGGATCATCTGGATCACCAAACCAAACATCGTGGGCACAGGGACAGTCTTTTTCCCTGCAGGCTTCCACTCCAGGTTGTCTGATCTCCCATAAAGAGCTCAGCGACCTCACAGATGTGAATACACCATTGCAATTGAACTTCTCTTTCTATATTTCATGAACTCTCCCGCACCCACTGTCTTTTTTTTCCCCCCTCATCTTTAGAGTCACCCCAGTTAAGAAGGTAATTTGGTCAAACTTGCCTGAGCCAACTAAATTTGCTGTTAAAAATGATGTAGATTTAAATTTCTACAATCACAAAAAAACTAATCTGAAAAAGTTTCTCAAGATTCCATCATGTGCAGATTTTAATAAAGATTCAGATCATGAAAAACAAACTCTGCTTCCTAAAGGAAACTTGCTCTGATACATAAAGGATGTGATTGCAGACCTTCTGAAGTTCTTGTCTGACATCTGGAACACGCAAGCATTCCAACAGTGGGATCTGAACTTATCTGTATACCTGTTCCTAGTCCATGACTCAATGTACAGAAGTTTATCATCTTGAAAGCCAGTCTATTAGCATTTTCAGAAGGAGCAGTCTTAGTGGCAGCTTTCATAATCCTATTCACCATGTGTAACATTCAAGGTGGCCCCTCCCAGCAAATATAGCCATCAACCTGAATGTCAGGTGACCAATTTATAACAGATCTAGTCATTTATGCATATAGCCAATAATATTCACCAAGCCACTTACCACCTGTAATCCTCGGCATTTAGAAGGAAGTATGTACAAACAATAGTTACGCAAACAGTCACAATGCAGAGGATGACCAAAACCAACATCATAAAGCCATATACATAGTAGATCTTGTATGCCCAGAAAGAGGTAAATATGAAATACCTGGAGGGAAAAAAACAAAAAATAAAAAACTTTAAAAGTTGTTCCATAATGTGTATGCCCCTTTCAGCTGTCACAAAGTGTTTAAATCCATCAACCATTTATCAACTGCTTAAAGTGATACTAAAAGCTTAATTTTTTTAAACATGTTATACGTACCTGCCCTGTGCAAGGGTTTTACACAGGGCAGCTCCAATCCACCTCTTCTCTGGTCCCCTGCTGGTGCTCTGGCCAACCACCCTGCCAAGGGCCCACAAAGCAAGCCACTTGCTATGGGTGCACTTGGAGCTTGCTCCCAAGCCCCACTCTGTGTGTCCATGAGACACACAAAACGTGGCTTGGCCTCGCCAGCACTCCTTTCTTATTGGCTGTGACTGACAGCAGCGGGAGCCAAGGGCAGAAGGCAGAGAGCTGGGATAGCAGTCGCTCTCTTGCACATCACTGGATCGGGCTTGGGCAAGCATTAGAGGGGGTTGCATGCTGAAGGTTTTTTACCTTCATGCATAGAAGGTAAACGTTTAAGCTTTAAAACCACTGTAATCTGGCCACACACCTATAGATTCTCCTGCTGTGGTGACTGTATTTTGAAAGTCAGCCCCGCCAACTGCTAGAGTACATGAAATGTTGTTTACTGGCAATTTTCTGTCCAACAGTGACTTTTCAGTCAAAGGGCATTGGGTGAGAGAGGCAGCTGACAGGGCCAGCCACTGAGCGAACTTCGGCTGGTTCATAAGGAACCAGCCAAAATTTAATTTTGTGTACGGCCAGCTTTAGCTTGTGTATTTACACTTGGCCAACTTTCATCTTAACCTACAGTCTCAACAATGTGAGCGCCTTCTCAAGAGCTGAGAAAAAACAAAACAAAACAAAAAAAAAAAAACAACTTACATTTCAATAAAAATGGATCCAAAAGGTAGTATTCCACCAAGGCATACAATGACAGCTGGTTCCATGAACCTGTGAACAGCAATTTAATTACAAGAAATTAGCATTTTAGAACAGAGTACTGCTAATACATTTATTATTCTTAAGAATAAAAAGCTGGGTGTGCATTTTAAGGCTTAGTCAACTACGTTGCATAAACTTTGCCACACACAGTGCTGAATTCTTCAAAAGAAATATACCAGGAAAATATGGACACTACCACTGATTAAAATGCAGTAGTTGCCATTGTGAGTTACTAGCCCTGAACAAGTCTGAAATCCAATATCAACGCTTAGGTATTCAGAATCAGTGACTCACTAACTAGTAAACAAGAAGTCATAAGGTTGAAATTTGGGAGCTTGCACCTCTCAAAGAAGCCTATACTGAGAAATATGAAGGATGCCACTGCTGACCTCCTCCTAAAAATGCAAGCTACCAAGCTCTCCACAGATGCATAATCATCCAACAGAAAGTGATATCTACTTGTTTAAAGTCAATGACTAAAAAACATTAAAATCACCATATCAGCATTACAGCCAGACAACTAGCATTTTCTTAAGAGCAAGAATTACTCTCTTACCAGATCATACATACATACTTACTATCTATCTATATAGTATATACACACAAACACACGCAGAAGTGAGAACACCCCTTTTTGTAAATATTTTATTCTTTGGGCCCAATTTGGACATTTACACGTAGGAGTGTACTCACGTTTGTGCCAGCGGTTTAGGCATTAATGGCTGTGTGTTGAGTTATTTTGAGGGGACAGCAAATTTACACTGTTATACAAGCTGCACACTCACTACGTCACATTGTAGCAAAGTGGCACATGAAAAGATCTAATAAAATATTTACAAAAATGTGAGATACTGTAATATATATATATATATATATATATATATATATATATATATATATATATATATATATATACACACACAGTTGTGTTCAAAATAGCAGTGTGTTGAAAAAAGTGAATAAAGCTCAAAATCCTTCTAATAGCTTTTATTTCCATACACACAAATGCATTGGGAACACTACACATTCTATTCAAAATCAAAACATGAAGAAAAATATATCAAATTTGTGTTGTTCCTCTAAATAAATTGAAGAAAAGTGAATATTAGACTGTTAAAAAAAATAGTAGTGTTTGTATTCTTCTTTACAAACTCAAACATTCACTATATAAACTGAAAAATGTTTGAAGATTTTGCTTTCCTTTGAATCACTTAAATATTTCGTTGTATAAGCACTGTTTCTGAGAACTGCTGTACATCTGTGTTGCATGGAGTCAACCAACTTCTGGCACCTGTGAACAGGTATTCCAGCCCAGGATGATTGGACTACATTCCACAGTTCTTCTCTATTTCTTGGTTTTGCCTCAGAAACTGCATTTTTGATGTCACTCCACAAGTTTTCTATTGGATTAAGATCCGGGGATTGGGCTGGCCACTCCATAACGTCAATCTTGTTGGTCTGGAACCAAGATGTTGCACATTTACTGGTGTGTTTGGGGTCGTTGTCTTGTTGGAACACCCATTTCAGGGGCATTTCCTCTTCAGCATAAGGCAGCATGACCTCTTCAAGTATTCTGATGTATTCAAACTGATCCATGATCCCTGGTATGCGATAAATAGGCCCAACACCGTAGTATGAGAAACATCCCCATATCATGATGCTTGCGCAACCATGCTTCACTGTCTTCACAGTGTACTGTGGCTTGAATTCAGTGTTTGGGGGTCGTCTGACAAACTGTCTCCGGCCACTAGAGCCAAAAAGAACAATCTTACTTTCATCAGTCCACAAAATGTTGCACCATTTCTCTTTAGGCCAGTCAATGTGCTTTTTGGCAAATTGTAACCTCTTCAGCACGTCTTTTTTGCAACAGTGGGACTTTGCGGGGGCTTCTTGCAGATCGCTTGGCTTCACATAGGCGTCTTCTCTAATTGTAACAGTACTCACAGGTAACTTTAGACCTTCTTTGATCTTCCTGGAGCTGATTGTTGGATGAGTCCTTGCCATTTTGGCTATTCTTCTATCCATTCGAATGGTAGTTTTTCACTTTCTTCCACGTCTTTCAGGTTTTGGTTTCCATTTTAAAGCATTTGCGATCATTTTAGCTGAGCAGCCTATCATTTTCTGCACTTCTTTATATGTTTTCCCCTCTCCAATCAATTTTAATCAAGATACGCTGTTCTTCTGAACAATGTCTGGAACGACCCATTTTCCTCAGAATTTCAGAGAGAAATGCACTGTAACCAGCATGTACAACATTTGCTGCCTTTCTTCTTTCGATAAGGGCAATAATTGCCACCTGTTTTTCAAAGAATGAATGACCTCACTAATAGAACTCCACACTGCTATTATTTTGAACATGCCCCTTTCAATTAGTGATTCAATTACACAGAATCAGCAGCATACATGTCATGACTGTTGGGTCTGTTGGATTTCTATTACTCTACTACACCTGCTAGTAAATTATTTGCCATGTAGAAATATCATTTCTACCAAAAACAGTGATTGATCTGGTTAGTGATGTCTGACTGCTAATATTTTGAACACAACTGTGTGTGTGTATATATGTGCGCGTGTGCGTGCGTGCGTGCGTACGTGTATATATATATATATATATATATATATATATATATATATTTATATTTATTAGCAGTAGCAGCTCCCCAAATATTTTCCTGACAGGTGCACTTTAACCCAAGAACCCATGCTCAGTTTGTGATTGCCCCCAAGCTTTTTTCTTAGATTTCTGATGTTATTCTGTGGAATGGTTTGATGCAGGACTTCATAACAAAACAAACCTCTTTAATCTAAAACGTTGTTGCACCTCTTAAGAACAGTTAACATTTTCAGCTGCAAAATGTACTGTGTGTTGATAAAACCTTACCACTTTTTCTCTGGGATGGGTCGCGGAACTGCATTGACACGACAAGGGAAGTTGGGCTGTCCTGCCAAATTTCGACCAAGTATTGTTCCCACTAGGTTCAATGGAAGGATCACAAAGAAACAAATGCAGCATACAGCAACCTAGGACAGCAAAGTCACATGAATTACTAAACAGTCATTCAGTGAGATCAGGGCTACATTCATTCCAGGGGCACTCTGTACATTTCCGGTGGATCAATCACTGACAACTACAGAGATTACCCTGCTGTTTCAGAGTCACTAAATGGGTCTGTTGCCAATCACACTGACAAAATGCAAGAGGAGCAAAAAACACATGAATATTTGTCTAAACTAATGGCAACACTGATGTATTCTGTTATCTTTGAAAAAGCATGATTTAGGAGTTGCAGCACCCACCACCAGCTCTCTATTGCTTCACTGGTAACATTTTCTGTACTGTAATCTCTCACTAGCTCTACACACTAATCAGTGACACAAAATACTAGTAGTTGATGTGTTTGTGGAATATTGAAGCCTGCTTTCTCGAAAAGGTTCAAAGCTCTCTGCAAACTTCTGTTATATATGCTCAGTTGAAAGCTGGCATGCAATTTTTTTGAGGCCTTTCATTAGCTGTCAGCAAAAATGGCTCACAAAACTAATTCTAAGAATGCAAACTAGTAATGCAACAAAACACCACGTTCACAAAGCAAAAAACATACGTACAAACCCTTAAATCACAAAACAGTTATAGGAATACAGTAAGAAAAAAGAAAATTCAATACAGACAAAGAGAGGTATTTCCAATCCCAGTGCAGAAATTCAAACATCATGCTTGGAATATAAACTGTATCTAACAAGTCAGAGCAGGCTTAATTTGTAAGCAGAGTGCCCGTACACAATTACCTTGGACGACATCCAAACATGTAAAATACCGAGCTTAAATTATGCCTTTCTTAGAAAAGGCAAATCCTTGGGTGACCCCAGTTAACATGCAAAGTAAAGCATGGTGCTTTAGGTTGGACATGAAGTTGTGTACTTAAATGAAGAGAGGGATTAAGCGGAGTCACAGAACCAAAAAGTAATCTTTAATGCAGGTGGAATGCCCTGCTGTCAGCATTCCTGAAGCATGAATCAGATTACAGCTAAGAAATGAATTATCGGTAAAACGCATGTTCAGCACATGTCAAAAAATTAGCTTCAGAACTTTCTGACAGGACAAGCGATTTGTGCTGGTATTATACAGAAAACAATAAAATTCCCTACCACTTCAGTATGAAATTAGGATATAAAAACAAGAGATTTAAATAACTGTTCTAGCAAATCACTATATTCAGTACCAGTGCAAACATGAATTTCTTTATAAGAATTAGTAAATTAATAAAGGAGACCATTCAGAAATTATGTTAGAAAGTAATGAATCCATTATCTTAACAAGAGACATACTCAGGAAAGAGCTGTTGTGCATTTCAGCTCAGTAGCGTCATCTAGTGATAAAAGACCATATTACAGCTTTAGGTAAGTTCCCAAATTGTAAGCAATCTAGAACAGCAAAAGTTGTATACCATTTTCACACAAAGCAAAAATGCCCAGCTCCAGTTCTAAATGCAATTTTAGGATGTAGGGAACTGTGCAACATTGAGCTTGCCAAGCAAAATTACTCAATTCTAAATTGTGATCAGTATAGGGCCACGAAGGACTGAAGCTGTGTGGTTCTGTAGGAGTTGAAAACATTATTTCTATTAACAGTCAGTGATCCAAAAGGTCATACTTTTATTTTTCACTTCTAGCAGCTAAAAAAAAACAAAAACAAAACAAAAAAAAACCCTGAGGTAGGGAGCTGTATTTATATCTAAACCCAAACAATATACATTGTACTCCCCATCCCAGCTGATTGCTGGCATTATAAATAAAACCATGAGAACAAAAAACCCCCCTGGAAAACCATGAATAACTTTCTGTTCACATAAATGTGTTGAAATAATCATTTACAAGATGAGTGATAACAGACTTGCTGAATTTAGGTTATCTATTACTGTCCTGTCAGTGTAATAACAAACCTGTGATGTGCTTGACTGGTACAAAATGTTTTTGATTTGACTGGATCAGGTGTAAAGCAAACTAAAAGCTGACAAAGTAAATCAATGGCTTACTCAAAAGGAAATTGTACAAACCTCTCATGTTCAACTTCTGCTATATGAAATTAAAAACCATTTCAGCTCTAATGTGACGGAGCCATTAAGCAATACATTTTAAAGCAAAACTGCCAGGCTAGCATGGCTGCATGAACGCTGTTTTACACACCAGTGACGGAAACTTCAAAAATCTGCTGACTTACCATTGTTCCAAATGGGATTGCTCTGGAAGCATGATAATATATGGCAATGAAATTGATAAAGAATGCTGTCCCACAAACCATTGCTGGGATTAGGAAAGCTCCAATGAACATTTGCTTTATCCACCGTCGACCTACAATGAATTTATCATGTGTTATTGACAATTATTAATTACATTGCAATCTGTGGGTATTGAAATGCAGATTATTTTTCTCCTCCCTGGTCTAATGTATTTTAAAGTGATATTAAAGGCCTACATTTTTTTATTAAATAAACAAACGCTTGACACTTACCTGCTCTCTGTAGTGATTTTGCAAAGAGCAGCCAGGATTCTCCTCTTCTCGGGTCCCCCGCCAGTGCTCTTGGCCCCTTCCTCCTGTCGGGTGCCCCCAAAGCAAGACGGCTTGCTATGGGGCACCTGCTGCTCCGTGTGTCCATTCACACACTGAGCCGCGGATTGGCCCCACCCCCTCTCTTCTCATTGGCTCACTGGTTGTGATTGACAGAATGGGTCGCTCTCGGAGCTCAGTGAATTCAAGCGTGGTACCGTGATAGGTTGCCACTTGTGCAATAAGTCCATCTGTGACATTTCCTTGCTACTAAATATTCCGTGGAAACGGTTAGTGGTATGATAAAGTGGAAACAACTGGGAACAACAGCAACTCAGCCACAAAGTGGTAGGCCACGTAAAATGACAGAGTGGGGTCAGTGCATGCTGAAGCACACAGTGCACAGAAGTCGCCAACTATCTGCAGAGTCAATAGCTAAAAGACCTCCAAACTTCATGTGGCCTTCAGATTAGCACAATAATAGTGTGTAGAGAGCTTCATGGAATGGGTTTCCATGGCTCAGCACCTGCATGCAAGCCTTACATCACCAAGCGCAATGCAAAGCGCCGGATGCAGTGGTGTAACGCAAACTGCCACTGGACTCTAGAGCAGTGGAGACATGTTCTCTGGAGTGATGAATTACGCTTCTCTGTCCGGCAGTCCGATGGATGTGTCTGGGTTTAGCAGTTGCCAGGAGAACGGTACTTGCCTGACTGCATTGTGCCAAGTGTTAAGATTGGTCGAGGGGGGAATTATGGTGTGGGGTTGGTTTTTAGGGGTTGGGGTTGGCCTCTTAGTTCCAATGAAGGGAAATCTTAAGGCGTCAGCATACCAAGACAATTTCATGCTCCCAACTTTGTGGGAACGGTTTAGGGATGGCCCCTTCCTGTTCCAACATGACTGAGCACCAGTGCACAAATCAAGGTCTATAAAAGACATGTATGTGCGAGTTTGGGGTGGAGGAACGTGACTGGCCTGCACATAATCCTGACCCCAACCTAATAGAATACCTTTGGAATGAATTAGAACGGAGACTGCGAGCCAGGCCTTCTCGTCCAACATCAGTGCCTGACCTCACAAATGTGCTTCTGAAAGAATGGTCAAACATTCCCATAGACACACTCCTAAACCTTGTGGACAGCCTTCCCAGAAGAGCTGAAGCTGTTATAGCTGCAAAGGGCGGGCCAACTCAATACTGAACCCTACGGACTAAGACGCCATTAAAGTTCCTGTGCATGTAAAGGCAGGCACCCCAATACTTTTGGCAATATGGTGTGTGTGTGTGTGTGTGTGTGTGTGTGTGTGTGTGTGTGTGTGTGTGTGTGTGTGTGTGTGTGTGTGTGTGTGGTGTGTGTGTGTGTGTGTGTGTGTGTGTGTGTGTGTGTGTGTGGTGGTGTGGTGTGTCTATATCTTTCACTAAATTAATCCCTTAGAGTAGTGACCATCTGCTGCTTTTGTACATAAAGGGCTATTTTTAGGGGTTTTTTTTACCCCATTATGACAGATAAATCACTCATGCTGGCCATACACAATTTTTAGAGAATATTCATACAAAAATTCTTTGTACTTGCGATGGACGAATGTCGTTTGAAGATTTAACTTGCTTTTCACATTCAATTTAAAAATTAATGTAACATCTGAATAAAACCCCACATATACTGTCCGAAAAGGTGTTCAATTAAGAAGAGTTCTCTTCTGCTCTTTCAAATTTTTCAATCATTGTGGTCGAAAACAAGCGTCAACTTGACCCCACTAAATCCAACTACAACGAAAATTTTCTAAGGAAAAAAATTTGCTTGTGTATGGTCAGAATAAGCGACAGCTGGTGCAAGTAGCTTGTATCAAGCTACCTGTCTATGACAAGGGAGTCTGTCCTGTATAATATTACTTTACAGTCCTGTCTGAAAACCTGCAAAAAAGCCATAAGTATTTTTTATTTTTATTTTCTTTAAATAAAAACTTAGAGATTGAATCCGATACAAATCATCAGACTCAGATCAAATAGTACAGTGCATCCAGAAAGTATTCACAGCGCTTAACTTTTGCCACATTTTGTTATGTTAAAGCCTTATTCCAAAATGGATTAAATTCATTTTTTTCCTCAACATTTTACAAATAATACCCCATAATGACAACATGAAAGAAGTTTGTTTTGAAATCTTTGCAATTTAATTAAAAAAAATAATGTACATAAGTATTCACAGCCTTTGCCATGACACTCAAAATTGAGCTCTGGTGCATCCTGTTCCCACTGATCATCCTTGAGATGTTTCCACAACTTGATTGGAGTCCACCTGTGGGAAATTCAGTTGATTGGACATAATTATAATCCTCTCTATATAAGGTCCCACAGTTAACAGTTCATGTCAGAGCACAAACCAAGCCATGAAGTCCAGGGAATTGTCCGTAGACCTCCGAGACAGGATTGCATCAAGTCACAGATCTAGGGAAGGGTACAGAAAAATTTCTGCTGCATTGAAGGTCCCACTGAGCACAGTGTCCTCCATCATTCTTAAAAGTAAGAAGTTCAGAACCACCAGGAAGCCTCCTAGAGCGGGCCCCGCCCGGCCAAAATGAGTGATCAAGGGAGAAGGGCCTTAGCCAGGGAGGTAACCAAGCACCCAATGGTCACTCTGAAAGAGCTCCAGCGTTTCTCTGTGGAGAAAGGAGAAGCTTCCAAAAGAACAACCATCTCTGCAGCACTCCACCCATCAGGCCTGTATGATAGAGTGGCCAGACGGAAGCCACATCTCAGTAAAAGGCAAAATTGCAGCCCTCCTGGAGTTTGCAAAAAGGCACCTGAGGGACTCTCAGACCATGAGAAACAAAACTCTCTGTTCTGATGAAACAAAGATTGAATGAACTCTTTGGCCTGAATACAATGCGTCAAGTCTGGAGGAAACCAGGCGCTGCTCACCACCTGGCCAATACCATCCCTACAGTGAAGCATGGTGGTGGAAGCATCATGCTGTGGGGATGTTTTTTCAGCAGCAGGAACTGGAAGAATAGTCAGGATCAAAGGAAAGATTAATGCAGCAATGTACAGAGACATCCTTGATGAAAACCTGTTCCACAGCTTTTGGACTTTTAGACTGGGGCGACAGTTCATCTTTCAACAGGGCAATGACCCTAAGCACACAGCTCACATAACAAAGGAGTGGCTATGGGCCAACTCTGTGAATGTCCTGGAGTGGCCCAGCCAGAGCCCAGACTTGAACCCGAGTGAACATCTCTGGAGAGATCTGAAAATGGCTGTGCACCAACGCTCCCCATCCAACCTGATGGAGCTTGAGAGATACTGCAAAGAAGAATGGGAGAAATTGACCAAAAATAGGTGTGCCAAGCTTGTAGCATCATACTCAAAACGACTTGAGGCTGTAATTGGTGCTAAAGGTGCTTCAACAAAAGTATTGCACAAAGGCTGTGAATACTTATGTACATGTTTTTTTTTTAGTTTTTTACTTTTAATAAATTGCAAAGATTTCAAAATGAACTTTTCAGGTTGTCATTATGGAGTATTGTTTGTAGAATGTTGAGGAAAAAAATTTATGTAATCCATTCTGGAATAAGGCTGTAACATAACAAAATGTGGCAAAAGTTAAGTGCTGTGAATACATTCTAGATGCACTGTATATTCATCTCTTCTGTTATTCTCAGAGTGGATTAAATCTTTTCTCTAACTATATAGATAGTTATTTACAGTATAATTACCACAGCATATACTGTAGATATTTAAGAATAGATGTTTTTTTTTAAAACTTTGCATACTAACTAAATTTTACAACAAACTTTTTTTTGAGGTTTTTATCTGATTAATCAAAACAATCAGGAAATGAATAGATGATGAAAATTATCGTTAACTCAAGCCCTAGGTTTTGATGCCTCTAAATAGAAACACAGGCAGCAATCCATATCCTTTTGGTTGACCTAGAGCTCAAGTTTCACCTTGGCTGTGTACAGGCAACTCTTGACAGTGGACTTGGTCAATTTAGAATTGTAGTCAAAAAGTGGTAGCATTTCTTAATAGAAAGAAAAAGCTTAGCTTCTTGAAAATCAAAAGACTGGGATTCTGGTACTTACTAAAAGTTTTTAAACCTATGGCAGTCAGAGTTTTACTACACAGAGCAGTGGGAATGATTCAACACGTGTTTTTTTTATGGGCGATTAGGGATGAAAATGGGGTATTTTGTTATATAACAAAACACACACAGAGTGTAAAAATAATTTACCTCCTTGTCTGGCATAGAGACTTCCTCCAAAGTAACCATTGACGGGGGATGTAGCAGCATAAACAAATATTGCTGTGCTTAGCATTGAACCTCTCCTAGGAGGAAAAGAAAAAAAACGCATTTAAAACCAAAGACCTCATACACATATGCCTATACAACAAATGTACAAGTGACACTTTCATTACTGGAAAGTGAGAACATTCAATTCTGAAAGAGTTGGGATGCTATTAAATCTACATAAAAACAGAATGCAGTCATTTGCAAATCTCATAAACCCATATTTTTATACACAAAAGAAAAACATATCAAATGTTTAAACTGAGAAAATGTCCCATTTTAAGGCATAAAATAAGGTCATTTTGAAATAGATTTCAGCAACATCTCAAAGTTGGAGCAGGACAAAAAAAAAGCTGACAGAGTCCAATTCCAAAAAAGTTGTGACAAGGCCATGTTTACAACGGTGTAGCATCCCCTCTTCTTTTAACACTCTAATTGTCTGGAAACTGAGACCAGTTACTGGAATTTTGGGGGAGGAATGTTCTCCCATTCTTGTCTGAGCATATGCTCCTCTATAACCTAGATATATCTTTCAGCATTGATAGTGACATTCCAGATGTGAAATTTACCCATTCCATACGCACTAATGCACCCCCATACCATCAGAGATGCAGGCTTTTGAACCAAGCGCTGATAACAAGCTGAAAGGTCCTTTTTCTCTGGAGGACGCGGCGCCCATGATTTCCAAAAGAAAGTCAGTTTTTTCGCTTTGGAAAAGACCAATTTTGAATGAGCTTTGGCCCAGAGAAGAAAACGGTATTTCCAAATCATGTCCAGATATGGCTTCATTTTTGCATGATAGAGCTTTGCCTTGCATTTTTGGATGGCACAGAGAATTGAATTCACAGGCAGTTATTTTTGGAAGTATTCCTGAGCCCATGCAGTGATGTCCATAACAGAATCATGCCTATTTTTAATGCAGTGCCATCTGAGGGCCCAAAGATCACTGGCATCCAATATTGACTTTCAGCATTTTCCTTGCACATTACGATTTCTCCAGATTCTCTGTTTTGATATTATATACTATTATATATATACAGTTTCTGTAATTTTGTTGACACTGAAAAACCCAGTTTTCTTGGGAGGTGTCGCCCTGCCAGATTTTAATTTGTATTATAAAGCAGCTCTGTTATCTCACTTCTTCCATTTTGACAAGACTGATTTGGGAAGGTACCAAACTCTAGTCTGTGGGTTACCAATGCATCCAGCTTATACACCCCTGCAATCTATTTGCCAAGGGGCACAGAGTCTTGGCTACCAGCTTACTCATTCTAGCATCTTATTTCACCACCAAGTATCCCAAGGGTCTCTGATTGCTTAACTCATTTATACATACTGCACAGAGATTACCTGACTCCGGTACGGGTATCCCACTACAAGCCTTCCCACAGTCCATTATGTGTCCTATGCATGATGCAAACAGCAATCTTTTAGCCTTTCATGTATGGTCATGCCCTACTGTAAAAACCTACTGGGTTCAGGATGTTCGCTTCTTACATGATCACCTGGGCTTCCCTTTATCTCTAGATCCCAAACCCTGTCTTTATTCTTTTTTTTTTTTTTTTTTTTGGCTTTTTGTTGCCCTACCCCAACTTTTTTGAGATGTGTTCCTGCCATCAGTTTCAAAATTACCCTTTCCTAAAAAGGTACATTTTCTCAATTTAAACATTTGAAAGGTTTTCTATTTTCTATTGTGAATAAAATATGGGCTAATGAGATTAACGAATCATTGCATTCTATTTTTATGCAGATTTTACTATTTTGGAATTCTGGTTGCATACATTATTATATACAGACAGCAACATATAACAGATGCTACAGAATTAAAAATGTACAAACCATATTTTTACTAAAATAGGGATTAGCAGACTCTCCCCCCGAACTTATCTTGCACTTGGTCAGAGGAGAAGAGGATCAGAATCCAAAATAACAGGAATTGGGTACAAGAAAGACTAACCAACACAAAAATAACAAACATTCTTACTGATGGCATTATAACAGCAGAAAGTGAAATGTGTCGATAACAATTTAGTTTCACACCTGCTTTTGTTTTTTTTTTTTATTAAATCAGCAGTTATTGAAATATAAGAAAAAACTAAGTATGACCAAAACATACTTTCAAGTGATTTTTTTCAGTCGTTTTTACAAAAGAAAAACTCCTGCAAATGGACAGATACCACAAGATTTCTATCGTCCCCTTGCAGAGCAGAGAGAGGAGGACAGGACCAACATGGTCATAGCTTCCTCCTCTGGCAGATATGTCTTTGGGATACACAGTGCAGCTGCTCATCAGAGGATGCAAAGACAACATGCTGTTTTAGAGCTTTACTTCCAGTCTGCACATAAATGGAAATACTTGTTCTGTGAGTGTGCCATCTCTGTATGTCTCTATTAGGCAATCATTGAAAACTCATTTATCCAGGGAAGCCTACACCACCTCCACTTAAAAAACTGGACTTAAGTCAACTCTATAAGATCATCCCCTGCAGTCATTACCTTTTGTACCACCATCCCCTCCCTTTAGATTGTAAGCTCTATGAGCAAGGCCCTCCTAATCTTTCTGTACTGAACTGCATTGTAATTGTACTGTTCCCCTTTATAATGTAAAGCGCTGCACAAACTGTTGGGGCTATATAAATTCTGTATAATAAAAATCATTTCAACAGCATGCCCTGACAATTTAGCACTGCATGGCTAGCAGGAAAGACTGACAATCGTTACTGGCATGATCTAAAGCTGGCCACACATTATACAATTTTCTTATTCAATTTCCTTTAGATTTACCTTTAACTATGTGGTGCAAGGGCCTGCCTGATTGCACACAAATTGAAAGTATTCATGTTTGACTTCATATTATATGGTTTTGGTAAATGTAAAGGAAAAGGGTACAAGAAAATTGTATAGTGTATGGCCTGCCTTAATATCCTGTACCAGCAGACACTCTTTGGACGCACAATGCAGACATATACTAAAGGGGACAGAGATGACATGCCCATTTCAAGCTTTAACGTCACACATACCCAGGAAAGACATTGGTACTGTGAGATTGCGGTCATCACATGCCTATATCTGTAAAGTGTGTCCTGGCAATCTGGCACTGAGTTAACTGCACGCAAGAGTTGGAATTAGTTGATGTCCGTTAGCTTTTGTGCTCTTCTGCTGGGTGAAATCATATACCTCTTCTGTCGCTGCCATTCATGCAGGCTAGTCTGTGTATGCTAATCATTCCCTAACAAGTTACAGCAGTAAAACTGTGTAGTCTTGCAGTCTGACGAAGTTTGTTTACACACCGATTAAAATATATGGGCACAAGTCGGATAGAAGTCGTCTTGAAGTAGTACAGGAACCTTTTCTAAAGTCTGAGTGACTTCAGTAGGGCTAATTAAGATGGCTCTTATTGACCTACATGGGATTTCACATGTCATGTGACTTGGGGTCTCACATGTCAGATCTCAAATTGCGGCAGTGTGAACCAAGCCTGACAAAGTTTGTTTAGACACTGATCTGATATAAAGTTATTCACCTGTTAGCTGGTCAGTGTACAGAGAATAATCTAAGCATTAAGCATTGAAATAGGCTAATCACTGGATACAATGTGAAAACTACAATAAGAACAAACAGGAGGGCGCAAATGACTAGTGCATTACCAACGATTTATTGTTCACAAAACATTAATACCAAATGGATACTCACAGAAGTGGAAAGTAAAAATTGCATATAATATACAGAGTACAGTGCATTGCGGTGTCCAATGCGTTACAGCGTACAGTGCATTTAGTGTTCAGTGTACAGTGCATTGCAGTGTCCAGTGCGTTACAGCGTACAGTGCATGTAGTGTTCAGTGTACAGTGCATTGCAGTGTCCAGTGTGTTACAGAGTACAGTGCATTTTGGTGTCCAGTGTGTTACAGTGTACAGTGAATGGTGGTGCCAAGTGCGTTACAGCGTACAATGCATTACGATGTACAGTGCGTTACAGTGTACAGTGCATTTTAAATATTGTATTGTTTTTTCGCACTACAAATAAGATATGTGCCGTGTGCATAAGAATTTGGTCATATTTTTTCAAACTTTAGTTCGGCCCCCCAACAGTGTGAAGGTCCATGAACCGGCCCTGTTTAAAAGGTTTGAGGACCCCTGCTATAGGAGGTGGAGCCTCCGATCATATCAAAAGTCACCAACTAAACCAACCAACAAACAGGGTAAACTCTGAGCCAAATGAAAAAATAAATTAAAAAAAGGGCACGGAGTAATGGTAGTATTTTCACTTTCAATATAGAGCAGTACATCTGTAAATTCATGATACCATCGCTGAAATGCAGTTCCCCGGCACCAGCAGCAGTCATGCAGCCACACAGGAGGACACTGCCACCATGTTTCACTGTAGGCACCATGCATTTTTCTTTGTACTCCTCACCTTTGCGACGCCATACAGTTTTGAAACCATCAGTTCCAAAATCATTTATCTTGGTCTAATCACTACAGAGTACAGAGCCCCAGTAGCCTTTTTCAGCATGCGCCCTGGCAAGTTCTAGGCTAGCTTTTTTGTGCATGGGCCCTGGCAAGTTCTAGGCGGGCCTTTTTTGAGCATGGGCATTAGGAGAGGTTTCCTTTGTGGATGACACCCATGCATGCCAATCCTCTGCAGTGTACGCCATATTTTGCCACAGGAAACAATCACCCCAGTTTGGTTTTCTACTTCTTTAGCTAACTGCTGTGAACTTGCATGGCAATTTTCTTCAACCTTTCTCATCAGAAGACCATCCTTTTGAGATATTAACTTCCATGAATGGCCTGGATGTCTCTGTGAGATGGTTGCAACTCAATCTTTGTTAAATTTTTGTATCATTTTTGCTAAAGTATTCTGACTGATAAGTAAAGCTTTGCTGATCTTCTTGTAGCCTTCACCTTTCTTGTGTAAAGAAATTTTCTCTCTCAAGCCTTGTGACCGGCCTACCTTATCAGAGACTATCCCCGCTTCAGTCTATCCTGAATTCTGCGGCCAGACTCATCCACCTTACTAACCGCTCCATATCCGCCACCCCCCCGCCAATCCCTCCACTGGCTTCCGATTGCCCAACGCATAAAATTCAAATTACTAACGTTGACGTACAAAGCTGTTCATTACACTGTCCCAAACTACATCACCGACCTGATATCCATTTTTACCATCCAAAACGTACTCTTCGCTCCTCACAAGACCTCCTACTCTCTAGTTTCCTGGTCTCCTCCTCCCATGCCCGTCTCCAGGGCTTCCCCCATCCTCTGGAACTGGATAATAATAATATTAACAACAATTTATCTTCCATGTGGTGCCATTGCTGACAGCATGAAATGGGAAGGGGTATTCTTTGTTAAGTAACACCCTTTTATAATCCACTGATTGCTGGACAACTGTTTAAAGAATTAGACTCACCTGTAGCTGAATTAATTAGGATATTGTTGTCTAAAATTTAGCTTTGCTCCTAAGACTTTTATTGGGGTGTTTTCATTTTTGCAACATGGCCTTGAATGAATTTGTTAGGAAAAATACTTGTGTGTGTGCGCGCAAGTAAACAAATCTTGTTTGCAATCAATGGCCCGTATTTGTGGGAGTATTTTGTAGTATAGTGTCCCATAGAAAATGTTGATTCTGAAAGAAGAGTAAAGGTTTTCTGACAAATCTGCTCAGGTGTACTCATTTATGTTGATATATATATATATATATATATATATATATATATATATATATATATGTCATAAAGGGATGAATAAGTAAATAACCGGCAGTTTACCGTTCGTCGACCTCCGTTTGTTTTTGTTTTTTTCTGTTTTTCACATCTCATTTTCATCACCATTATTATTATACAGTATTTATATAGCGCCAGAAGGTTTGGTCAGCGCTGTACATTATAGTGGGGGACAGAACATGAGACAATACAGTAACAAAACAATACACGAGGGGTTCGAGGGCCCTGCTCTTTCAAGCTTATAGTTATTTTGTATTTTTTAATATTTCCCCTCTCCTTCGTCCGTTTAGTCCACAGGATTATAGATCACGCATGAGTGAGAGCATTTTCAGCTATTTGACCCACTCTGTGAACTTCCTGTGTGTACATGACATCACCTTTTGTGACCTCCTGGAAGTGGAAGAACGGTACACTTCTGATTTGCAGAAGTCTCTAGCTTGTGTTCCAGCAGTCGTCGTCCATGATGGACATCCTCCATCCATACACACAGCCTTTCTATATGAGCCCATTTTGACATTTTCTATATAGATGCTAAGCCGCCCAAACAGTTTTATCTGGTCAGTATGTTTATTTACTTATTCATCCCTTTATTTCCTCTTTTTTTTTTATTTGGCTCACAGTTTGGTGTGTTTGTTGACCTTTGACATGACCGGTGGCTCCACCCCCTATAGTGAGGCCAGTGATGTTCAATCTATGGTTCAATATAAATATACACCTGGCTCTATCACATGTTGGTTAGCATAGCTCTGAGGAAGGAGGTATGCCGCCAAAACACATCAGCTTGCCAGTCCAGCTGGGTTGCACAGACACACACAACTCCCTGTGCTGTGGCATCTTGAGGTTTTTATGCATTTTAATTCTGTTAATATCCATTTGACATCTATGTTTTGTGAACAATACATCATTGGTAATGCACTAGTCATTTGCATCCTCCGGTTTGTTCTTTTTGTAGTCTTCACATCGTATCCAGTGTTGAGTGATAGAATCCTGTGTTTTCAGATAGCCTATTAATACTTAGATAATTCTCTGTACACTGACCAGTTAACAGGTGAATAACTTTGTATCAGATCAGTGTGTAAACAAACTTCGTCAGGCTCGTTTCACACTGCCGCGACTTGAGATCTGACTTGTGAGACCCCAAGTCACATGACGTGAAATCCCATGTTAGTCAATAAGAGCCATCTTATTTAGCACTACTGAAGTCGCTCAGACTTTAGAAAAGGTTCCTGTACTACTTCAAGACGACTTCTATCCGACTTGTGTCCATATATTTTAATAGGTTACCTCCAAGTCGAATACTCATCTATATTGATGCGATTTGGATCTCACATTACAGTAAGATTACCCAGGCATTCCCTGAAAGTTGCTTCAGAGTTGCTTAAAAGTAGTACTCAAGTCGCCTGGCAAAGTTGCACAACTTTCAGGTAGCAGTAGTGTGAACCGAGACTAAGACTGCAAGACTACACAGCTTTCTGTTCTTTTTTGTAGTTTTCACAAGACTTCCTTGGTTGAGTAGGGCAGCATCTACTACACATTCCTGGCGAAGTTCATGATCCATTGGATATCATACATCATTTGTGGTCATCTTCCTCTTTGGTAGACCACAGAGCTGAAATTTACAGTTTTTCATGTGTGTACACTGGATACAATGTGACATGCAAATGAAGCAGGCTTAATCTCCACCAAATGTCTATACTGCTTGTGTGCTCAGTGCTGTTTTCTTTATTGAGCTGACATTTTTTGCTTTTACTTCACAGCAGACTAGTTTTTCAGATGTATGGATATTTATTCATTTGCTATCATGTCACTCAGTATCACTATTCATTAGGCAGCAAGTTACCTTTTTAGGGGCCTGATGCTTTACGATCATACTTGTGTTTGGTTTTCATTATGTTGCGTTTTGACCATGTGTTTGAGTGTTTTTTTTTTTTTGTTTTGTTTTTTAAGATATTTTGGCCTTCATTGGAATTTCCAAGAGGTTTTGACTACGTTGTAATAATTTTAACTACTCCTGGATTTTTTTTTAGGCTGAGGGTGTCATGCAAATAGGGATTAGTATTATGTACTGTGTATTTCAATAAGTTTTGGATTTGTTTTGCATATATCCCTAATTGCCAATTTCTTATTTTGTACCCTGCTGTTCTAATTATCTAGAAAAATCTCAATTGTATACCAATCTGACCAACTCCTGGATTTTGGGACTAAGCCAACCTATCTGCCCCAACCCTTCATCGTCCAATAAAAGTGACCAATAGGGCAGTATACCCTGTGAAGTAATACTCACAGTCCCATTGAACAGAGACAAATGTTGCATAGTCATTCCTGAATAGTAGCTGTCTAAACCAAAAAAAAACAAAAGGATTGTGGTAGAAAAAGTGTCACTATATGTCTGCAATAATAAAGTGAAAAACTATAATAGGAAGAATAGGAAAAAAGTATTACTTCACAGGATATTCAAGTGCAATTTACAAGCTGAAGTAGCTGGGCGAATGCAGCTTACTTTCAGATGCATTCCACTTGAAGCCACAGTCAGTTTTAGGTGTCGTGAGATCCTTCTAAATTTCTTTACAAGTGCTTCCAACCTCCTAAGCTGTATCAAACCACTTTGGCATTTTTATTGACACATATGGCTAGAAAAATAGTTCTCACATGAACAAAAGCCCATGTACAGGGCTTAAAGGACAAATCCCCCACAAATGAACATCTCAAGCTGTATTTACAAAACAAAGCTCATGGGAAAAAAAACAAAAAAAATCTCTGGTGCCATCTGCCCCTTGGTAAAAAGCAAAAGATCCCATGTTGGATAACACACCTTTGGGCAAGAGATCAGGGACAATATAAACTGAGATTGCCTTGTTTTTTGGTGAAACTGTTCCAAGACAAACTGTCAGCATTAAACATAAAACTTTTGAAATCTGTTTTTTGGTGAAAGTTAATATGAACAATGTGGTCTGCTAAATCTTCATTCATTGTGGTGAACCTTTCTCAAAGTAGCACAAAGTCAATCTTACTGATAATAAAGTGTAAAAAAGATCATACTCACTCTGTGTACAAATCTTCAATCATGGCTACAATAATTACAATAAGAGACACTGAGAAGATCTGACATCCTGACCCAATAAGTGATGAGAAGATAAGAGGATGACTGGAAGGTCTGAAAACATCCCCATGGACCTGTTTCCAACCGTATTCATCGCCTAGATCTCGATCCTACATTAGGAGGAAATAAGATTGTAAAACAGACAATATTAACATTAAAAATATGCACAGCACAGTTGCTCGAATATAAGATGTTTCAATTGATACATACAGAACATTTCCAAGCAACGCAAACTGTCTCCTTTCATGAATAGAGGTCATTGAAGCTAACCAATTTAAACATGCATTGCTTGATATAACTGACATAACTATAGCTCAATGTTCACATTTGGATTTGGACAAGATCACCTGTATGTCGGATTGTTTTCTATATAAACCATAGAAGCTTTCAATGTGCCACATTCAAATTTACATATAGGGGAATAAATAATAATAATATATACATACACGCATCCTCTTAAAAAGATCAAAAGGAGTACCCCCAAGGGGTATAACCTCCTCATAGCATATAGTTTCCTTCAGCAATGTGCCCCACCCATTTTTTTCTAGTTTATCAAATGTGTAAATTATTGATATACGGTCCTTAAGATAAATACGAAACGCATAGACCGCTGAAGATGGATGAAATATGAACACGTTTTATGTACTCATGTAAATTATATGTTAGTACCCCCAAAGGTTTAACCTCCTCATAACATATAGCTTACATGAGTACATAAAACGTGTTCATATTTCATCCATCTTCAACGGTCTACACGTTTCATATTCATCTTCTTCGGGACCGTATATTTGAGTAGATAAAAGCATTAATACTGTAGGAAATATAGCATACATTAATCTCCAATTTGTAATCAATAACATACACATTTGGTAAACTAGAAAAAAGGTTCACATGGGGGGGCACATTGCTGAAGGAAACTACAGTGAGGAACAGAAGTATTTGAACACCCTGCGATTTTGCAAGTTCTCCCACTTAGAAATCATGGAGGGGTCTGAAATTCACATTGTAGGTGCATTCACACTCTGAGAGACAGAATTTAAACAAAAAAAAAATTCAGGAAATCACATTGTATGATTTTTAAAGAATTTATTTGTCTTGCACTGCTGAACATAAGTATTTGAACACCTGAGAAAATCAGTGTTAATATTTGGTACAGAAGCCTTTGTTTGCAATTACAGAGGTCAAACGTTTCCTGTAGTTCTTGAACAGGTTTGCACACACTGCAACAGGGATTTTGGCCCACTCCTCCACACAGATCTCTTCTAGATCTGTCAGGTTTCGGGGCTGTCGCTGAGCAACACGGAGTTTCAGCTCCCTCCAAAGATGTTCTATTGGATTTAGGTTTGGAGACTGGCTAGGCCACTCCACAACCTTGATATGCTTCTTACAGAGCCACTCCTTGGTTACCCTGGCTGTGTGCTTCGGGTTGTTGTCATGTCGGAAGACCCAGCCACGACTCATCTTCAATCCTCTGACTGAGGGAAGGAGGTTGTTGCTCAAAATCTCACAATAAATGGCCCCATTCATCCTCTCCTTAATACAGTGCAGTTGTCCTGTCCCCTTCGCAGAAAAGCACCCCCAAAGCATGATGTTACCACCCCCATGCGTCACAATAGGGATGGTGTTCTTGGGATGCAACTCATCCTTTTTCCTCCAAACACGACGAGTGAAGTTTAGACCAAAAAGTTCTACTTTGGTCTCATCTGACCACATGACTTTCTGCAATGCCTCCTCTGGATCATCCAGATGGTCATTGGCAAACTTCAGACGGGCCTGGACATGTGATGACTTGAGCAGGGGAACCTTCGTGCAATGCATGATTTGAAACCATGACGGAGTAGTGTTCTACCGACAGTGACCTTTGAAACTGAGGTCCCAGCTCTCTTCATGTCATTGACCAGCTCCTCCCTTGTAGTTCTCGGCTGATTCCTCACCTTTCTTATCAGTGATACCCCACGAGGTGAGATCTTGCATGGAGCCCCAGTCCGAGGGAGACTGACAGTCGTCTTTAGCCTCTTCCATTTTCTAACAATTGCTCCAACAGTTGATCTATTTTCACCAAGCTGCTTGGCAATTGCCCCGTAGCCCTTTCCGGCCTTGTGGAGGTCCATAATTTTGTCTCTGGTGTCTTTTGATAGCTCTTTGGTGTTGCCCATGTTAGTAGTTGGCCTCTGACTGACTGTGGGGTGAACAGGTGTCTTTAAAGAGCTCAGACAGGTGCTACTAAGTTAGATTAATGAGTAGAGTAGAGGTGGACTTTTTAAAGGCACAGTAACAGGTCTCTGAGAGTCAGAATTCTTGCTGTTTCTTAGGTGTTCAAATACTTATGTTCAGCAGCGCAAGTCAAATAAATTCTTTAAAACTCATACAATGTGAGTTCCTGAATTTTTTTTTTAATTCTGTCTCTCAGAGTGTGAATGCACCTACAATGTGAATTTCAGACCCCTCCATGATTTCTAAGTGGGAGAACTTGCAAAATCGCAGGGTGTTCAAATACTTCTGTTCCTCACTGTATATGCTATGAGGAGGTTATACCCCTTGGGGGTACTCCCCATGGTCTTTTTAATAGGATATATATATATATACACACACACACACACACACACTATATATATATTTTTATGCTCTCGGAGGTGTTCACTTACAATCCAAAATGTTGTACTGATTTTATATATTTTCTATTGGGGGATTTGTTTCATTTCCCCGTTAACATTTGTCTGTGATTTTAAATTGGATTGCAATAAACGGGTTATATTTTAACAAAGGGGTATTGTATTGTCTCGTGTTGTGCCAATAAAGTCTGTTACCTTTTTGTAATAGGGAATATTTTCCCTGTTCCATACATTTTTCTCTACATAATAATTGTATGTGGTACAGTGCAATCTTTTATTTGTATACCTCTTTTGGGGTCACCCACCGGCACTCTCAGCTCTTCCTCTTCTCCAATGTCCTCATAGGAAGCCACTTCCTATGAGGGCATTCGTGCGGGAGTGCTCCTGAGCCGGCTGTGTGCATCTATAGACAACAGTGGATTGTCGCAGGACTGCGGCTGGCATTCTGACACTACGGGGAACTGACCAGGTGTCACTGACATCCCCAGTGACACCAATACTGTGATCAGTGCTAATAAAGCACTGACACTGTACTAATGGTACTGAGCAGGAAGAGGTTAATATGTGGGGCAATCAAAGGGTTAACTGTGTGCTGCTTTACTGTAAGCTACAGTGGGGCAAAAAAGTATTTAGTCAGCCACCAATTGTGCAAGTTCTCCCACTTAAAAAGATGAGAGGTCTGTAATTGGCATCATAGGTAGACCTCAACTAAGAGACAAAATGAGAAAAAAATCCAGACAATCACATTGGATGTTTTGGAAAGAGTTTATTTGCAAATTATGGTGGAAAATAAGTATTTGGTCAATATCAAAAGTTCATCTCAATACTTTTATATATCCTTTGTTGGCAATGACAGAGGTCAAACGTTTCCTGTAAGTCTTCACAAGGTTGGCACACACTGTTGCTGGTATGTTGACCCATTCCTCCATGCAGATCTCCTCTAGAGCAGTGATGTTTTGGGGCTGTCGCTGGGCAACACGGACTTTCAACTCCCTCCAAAGGTTTTCTATGGGGTTGAGATCTGGAGACTGGCTAGGCCACTCCAGGACCTTGAATTGCTTCTTACGAAGCCACTCCTTCGTTGCCCGGGCGGTATGTTTGGGATCATTGTCATGTTGGAAGACCCAGCCATGTTTCATCTTCAATGCCCTTGCTGATGGAAGGAGGTTTGCACTAAAAATCTCACGATACATGGCCCCATTCATTCTGTCCTGTACATGGATCAGTCGTCCTGGTCCCTTTGCGGAGAAACAGCCCCAAAGCATGATGTTGCCACCCCCATGATTCACAGTAGGTATGGTGTTCTTTGGATGCAACTTAGCATTTTCTCTCCTCCAAACACGACGAGTTGTGTTTCTACCAAACAGTTCTATTTTGGTTTCATCTGACTATATGACATTCTCCCAATCCTCTTCTGGATCATCCAAATGCTCTCTAGCAAACGTCAGACGGGCTCGGACATGTACTGGCTTAAGCAGGGGGACACGTCTGGCACTGCAGGATCTGAGTCCCTGGCGGCGTAGTGTGTTACTAATGGTAGCCTTTGTTACGTTGGTCCCAGCTCTCTGCAGGTCATTCACTAGGTCCCCCCGTGTGGTCTTGGGATTTTTGCTCACCGTTCTTGTGATCATTTTGACCCCACGGGGTGAGATCTTGCGTGGAGCCCCAGATCGAGGGAGATTATCAGTGGTCTTGTATGTCTTCCATTTTCTAATTATTGCTCCCACAGTTGATTTGTTCACACCAAGCTGCTTGCCTATTGCAGATTCAGTCTTCCCAGCCTGATGCAGGTCTACAATTTTGTTTCTGGTGTCCTTCGACAGCTCTTCGGCCTTCACCATAGTGGAGTTTGGAGTGTGACTGTTTGAGGTTGTGGACAGGTGTCTTTTATACTGATAAGTTCAAACAGGTGCCATTGATACAGGTAATGAGTGCAGGACAGAGGAGCCTCTTAAAGAAGAAGGTACAGGTCTGTGAGAGCCAGAAATCTTGCTTGTTTGTAGGTGACCAAATACTTATTTTCCACCATAATTTGCAAATAAATTCTTTCCAAATCAGCCAATGTGATTGTGTGGGTTTTTTTCTCATTTTGCCTCTCATAGTTGAGGTCTACCTATGATGCCAATTACAGGCCTCTCATCTTTTTAAGTGGGAGAACTTGCACAATTGATGGCTGACTAAATACTTTTTTATCCCACTGTATGTGTGTGTGCTTCACTGTAAACACACTGCTTTGCATTGCTCTGCTATATAAAAACAATGCATAGAAGTGTGCAGGAGCTGACAAGGGAGAGAACTGTATTGTTTACTTACAGTTCTCTCCCTCCGTTGGTAATGCTCCTCAATCACCGGGTGCTGGCGAGTAATCACCATCCGGGACCCGGTGATGGACAGCCGAGGCCACTAATAGCGTTGTGCGCCCCCTACCTGGGAATGCAAAAATCACATGATCTTGCACACCCCTGCCGCCTTGTAGCAGTATATCTGCTATAGGGTGGAAGGAAAGCGGTTAAGAAATAAAACTTAAACATAGTGGGAGAACAGAGGATCTTCATCAAAGTGTTCCCTAGGATAATTATGTTTGAGAAGTAACAACATTCTTCTTTTAAATTCCAAAGTTCACATAAAGAATCAAAAACAATCTGATTGTTTGCCAAGTACATCTCTCCTACCACTATGGTAAATAAAACCTTATTAAAATGGACTTGAATCGAAGAATACTTTGCATTCCATGAATATTGTTGACCAGTGATGGGTATATGCAAAGGGAAAGCAGTAACAGCCGTCTGCTGTTATTTACCAGCACAAGACCAAAGAAACAAACTCTTACCATGTCATCCATTTCCTCCTCTTTGCTGTATCTGGCATAATCTTTCCTTAAGGTTCTCATAAGAATCATGGATACCAATCCCACCAAAAAAATAACCATCATAAAAGAATTGAAGATTGAAAACCAGTGTATCTGGGGGAAAAAAAAAAACAGCAAAATAAATACCAATAGAAAGTCTTAACGTGTCCCCAAGTCAATGCCATATGGAATATAGTAAAAGATGTGGAAAAAGATGGCATAGACACAGAACAAGCTTTATCATCACTTACAGGTCACACACAGGAGCTGGAGTTACACTTTCAAGTATAGCTAAAGGCAAAACTTATATTTTTTCATTTTGGATAGAGTGGAGAGGAATTAGAACACCTGTCAGTTTTTATTGCTCTCCGGGCACGTTAGAGCAATTCACCCTATTTGTTCTGTTTACCAAGGGAAAGTAAAGAAAATCCCAAATTTTGGGTTGTCCCCAGAAAACTAAAAGAAGAAAAATTTTCCAATGGGGACACTAGTGGTGGCCATCTTTCCTGCGATTGCTGGAAGTGACGTCCTTTGTCTGCTATATAAGTCCTGAACAATATGGCCACCACTTCCTGAAGAAGCTCACGTGATTCGGTGAGCGAAAACGCATTGACGTCACAGTGTGGTGACGCCCGCGCTTCCGGCATCTCGGTCTCTCTACGCGTTGAACACCATCTCACCGCCACGCACTCCCTGTCTGACCATCAGACCGAACTGCAGAGGACCTGCTCACCCACTTTCACACCAATTGTCTGGTATCACTGAACCTAGAGCAGGAGCAGTTTACCCTGGATGACAATACCAGGTTGGGTGAGAGGACTTTGTCCAGCCTGTATGGATAACGGCTTGGTTGAGCCACTCTGACTCTTGCTGACACCACCGCTCTTTCACTTGACGGTGCTATTACACTGCCTCTATCACCAGCACACATCCACCACTGTCGGGACTCTCATGCTACCATACTTACCCACTTCAGCTTTACTATGAAAACATTCTACTACTACTCGCTTTCTCTATTGAAGATACCACTTCTGGAGCAACTTGTCATGGGTCAATTGAGTCACCTGCATCTATACCTACTATAGGCCTATTGATCTAGACCCGATTTTGCATATCATTATTTATATGACATTGAGTGTCTCTTTTTGCCTCTTGGCTAAAACCGGGCTGAGCTATAGATATAGCTAAATGGAATACTATACCGTAATTCAAGACAGGTTTTTAGGGCTACGTACACCCTTGCCCACTGCTGGTCAACTGGCCTAGATTCCACCTGTAGATTACAAGCAACATGATAATGACTGCCTCTCATTTGCCCTAAGGCCAAAACTGGGCGGTGCTATCGATAAGCCTGACTGGGCTGTCATACTACATTATATAGCCTCACGGCAGATTCATTCCTGCCCGTTATCCTAAGGGCTCAACTGGGGTCATCTGCTGATCCATCTACATATCAGAGCTATCCGGATACATTTTTGAATTGGGGACATCCTGAGTTGTGATCTTTTGATGATCTTAACGATCCTTGCTGCTGATATTATTTTCTCTATTAGGACCCCATGATATGTCAGTCATTTTCACCATCCACGATCATGACTGTATGACCTTTTTGGTATTATGCTATTCCACTTTGGCATTTCTGCTTAGTGTATGGTGATTGTATGTGCTTGTGTGGTCTGACCAGGATCCCGGTACGGGTGTTTTAATTTTATGGCAACATTGTCATTGTTTTTACAAGTATCAGGTGGAGGGTGCTTTGTGTGTCATTTGTTATTACAATGTCAATAAACATGATGTTTTAAACAGCAGACTGTTCTCCTGAGGACTTCTTTTCCAGGGGGGCTCTACCCACTGACATTTTTCCTATTATATGCGTTTGGTCCTGAGAGCACCTCCTTCAACTTTTGGATGAGTCGGCAACATCTACAGACAATTTATATACATTTTTTTGTGCCTGGGGATCCTGATTTTAGCTGTTTTTGTGACAACACTAGTTCTGGTGACCTGGGGGTCCCCAAGGAATTCCCTTACTTTGTAATATTGTTAGCTGTAAACAGCGAGCACATACGGGTAAAAATAAAAACGCTCAATTTCAAGAGAGACTTTTCCAAGGCTGAAAGCTGCTCTCCAAGACTTGGACTGGGAGGGAATATTGGCATTGATGAACACAACACAGAAATGGGAGTTCTTCAAAAAGACTATGTGAACACACTGCAAAATATATTCCCATGGGCAACAAGTTTAAAAGGCTAAAAATCAAACCTAAGTGGCTTATGGCCAAAGTTAAAAAAAAAGCTATAGATAATAGGAAAAGAGCTTTTATTAACTATAAAAATGAAGGAACGCTATCATCATTTAAACATTATAAAGAATATAACAGAATATGCAAAAAGGAAATAAAGGCCGCAAAAATTGAAAACGAACGACAGATTGCAAAAGATAGCAGGACCAACCCCAAAAAAATTCTTCAAATATATTAATAGTAAAATGGTTCGGTCCGAGCATGTAGGCCCTTTACAAAATAATCTAGAGTGGGTGACTGGGGACAAAAAGAAGGCAAATTTATTTAATACCTTCTTCAGCTCTGTGTATACAAAGGAGCATGGGGGAGCTCTTGTCCATAATGGGCATGGTATTGACACAGCTCCAGATGATCCACACTGGCTCACAATTGATATGATCCAAAAATATTTAGACAGTATAAAGGTGAATAAAGCACCTGGATCGGATGGCATACACCCACAGGTCCTTAAAGAATTGAGCTCTGTCATTTCAAAGCCATGTAACTATGTAGGGATTTCCTTTTACATCCTGTTTGGCTATGGGACAGGATGTGAAGGAAAATCTCCCCAGTGGGACACAGATGGTGAAAAAAAACATCTGACAGCATTTATAACCCTTACTCTATTCAAACTGGAAAAAAATAAAGTTTTGCCTATAGTTTTACTTTAAGAATGGAACATGTATGCTCCCATATTTATTCATCAATCTGTAAAAGGTATGCATGATAACCACACACTGATCACTACATACACAAATGCAATCACAGGTAAAACAATGGCCTACATTAGGAAAAGGTAAATATGGTTTGCATTTGTGAAGAATATAGTCAATTTGGAGGGCCTTACCCTGTGCTGGAAAAATGAAGGGTCAAGGTATTTGTCAAATCGATCTTCAAACCGGACATCGGATTTCTTCCATTTAACCTAAAAGAATATAACAGAAATGTAAGATTCAGCATATTTGTGAATATTGCATTAAGAACATCTCTAGGAACATTTAAAAAAAAATTACATTAGTGAAGGACATTCCATGATGAAAAGATTAGTGATGATCACAAGCTAGCCTATATTGTATTCCCTGCTGCTGCCTTTGTTTATTGCTCTCCAACATTTTTTTCAGGTAAATACTATCTGCATTGTACTACCTATCAAGCAGAAAGAGGGGAGAGGGAGGAGGGGGGGGCTAGAGATAAATTACACCAAGTATAGGATGTGGTTCATCCATCTTTGTGAAAAAAGGAATTGCTCTCAAATGCTTTCCCATCAAAGGTCTGTACAAAAAGCAATTCTAACTACTCCCTGTATGTCCCATCAGTCATTAATTCTTCTCAGCCCCTACCCGAGTGTACACTGAGCTGCACATATGAAGTACATACTCATCTTAATTTTGGACCAGGACAGAGCAGCTCTCATGCACATAAAGTTCATGAGTTAAGTCATCCCGATCAGTCGAGATGTCTGGAAGCTCAGAAAGACTGGGTGAAGATGAAAATGCAAGGTAAGCATTTCGTAACACACAAATATGCTCAGCAAGCTTGAATAAGAAAGCTGACAGAAAATTCAGATAAAGAGATGGTGTCACTAGTGTTTCTCTTGTAACCACAAGAGGGAACTGGAAGGACACTTTGCTACAAAGAACTTAAACAAGACTCTGGAGCAGGATCGGAAGGCCATTAATTTAAATTTTGGCTATCAATGACTTCCAGTGGCTCCAGCAGAAAACTGGTGATAAAATCAATGCAGTGTCAAACAAAAACTCACATGAAGTTGTTAATTTACGCTCTAAAAGGATTAAAGTACAAACCTTTTATCATTTTGAACAGGTTTCACCTATCTACTGCCCATTAAGGCACAAAATGAGTGTAAACTCATAATATACACTTGTATTCAATAACAATATATTAGCAGACAATCTTAGTAACAAAAAACTGATCAGTAAGGCAAATACATGTCTCACATTTAGCAAACACCTAAATTGTAACAAGTTTCTGTTCTAGAAAGAAAAAAGAAAATACAAGTACATTAGCTGTACAGTTTACTTACAGAGTAGGACATTTGAACCTTGGTATTGGGGACAAGCTTTACTTTGCCTTCACTGGTGAGATTTACATCTACTATACGATTTCCGTTATAGCCAATTTCAAGCTTTTTGTATGTCCAAAGGTAGTAATCTTCTCCATTTTCATCAGCCTCTCCAACAATACCTGCCATTAACGCACAACAGTAAGAGCTAAACAATAAACTTGGGGGAAAAATCCAAATGGAAGGGATATAAAAAAAAAAGGTAAGAAAAACTTGCAGGAACACACAAGCCAACTGAATTTTAGAATTCACAGCTATCAATTTACCTGTGAAAGGATTAGTGACTACGCACACCTTTGTAACCATTGTGATCTCAATTCAGTGTCTAAAGGGCTGACCTAGCAAGAATTATCGAAATCTACTTTGAGGCATATAGGAGCAGCCATCACCAATCTCCTCCCGAGAATGCTTGTAAGCCTGGCTGTACACGGATTCAGTACTGGCTAAGGTACTAACCCAATACAAGCAGGCAGATTAGAAAGTCATGTGAAGGCAGAACTCCTGATCAGCATAGTTTGTGAGGATCTATAACGCCAATAGTATAAAAGATAGTAGATCAACAAGGTTACTAGCATTTGAAGATACATTAGTAAAAGGAAAACATCATCCTGTATTTATTGTAAAATACAAGAGAACTACACAATTGCAAAAAAATACAAATTTTAAGTCAGTCAAGACTCCCCTTCAACTCTCATCATGCCTCAGTTTTTCATCTGCTAAGTTTAGGCTTAGCTTTTTTCTTTCCTTCAGGTTTCTCTGCATTCAAGATTCCTGCTCATCACTGCTTAAGACACTCTCTACATGGCAGCTATTTGGATCGGCCTTTCTTCAACCTGACTTGCTGTACCCGCTTCCCTGACCATTGCGGGGCTACTCTGGCATGTGAACTTTGGGCACTGGGTTCTACTTGCGAAGCCTTCTAGAAGTACAGGTAACAAGTTGCACACTCACCGGACCATACTGACCCCTTGTGTGCAGCAAGAAAGTCAAACTGCACTTGCGTATACTGAATGCTCCACACACTGGATCAGAATGGACTCAATATGTACTGAATGCACAATATGCCGGATCCTCCATCAGTATTAAAAGTACTCCAACGTTCCTTAAAATAATCTCAAAGCAACTGGACTGTTTATTCCAGTGCCCAACACAAACCTTTGCTTCTTTATCATCAAGAGGCAAAAGGTTTGTGTCAGGCTCTGGAATAAATGGCAGTCTGGTTGCTTGGAGAGGAGGTGCACCCTCTGAGGAAGCGGCTTCCTACAGTGACACACTGAGAAGAGACGGAGTCTAGAGCGCCAGGGAAGTGGACCCCATAAAAGAAGGTTCGGGGCCGCTCTGTGCAATACCACTGCACAGAGCAGGTAAATATAACTTGTTTATTATATAAAAAAAGAAAAAAAAACACAACCTTTACAAAAGCTTTAGGCCTCCCGCACTCCAATAATGGCAAAAAACATCCTTTAGGTTAAAAAAAGATCTGAAAGTCCAACATAAATCTCTGATGTATTTTAGTCTGATCAGGTAGACAATATCAAGTCCCAAAAAGGACAATTGGGAAAATTGGTAGTCAAGGTGCTGCACCATTTTCTGTGAAGACCATCAGAAGGAAACATTGCACAGAAATGTCAGAGTCTGACTATTTAATTAACACTAAAGTATTACTAAACACAAGACCCTGCCATTCACTAGATCTTGTCTCCCACAGTACATAGAACATGGAAATGCAATTATTTTAGGAAATATAAACTGCTATGTACCTTTTCCCATCAGCAGTCAAAGCAGTCTTGTGACTTCAGTGTCCAGTAGAGCACTGGTAAAAGCTTGTAGGAGGAGTTTTCATTCTCCTCTCTGGACAGTGCTGACTGACCCTTTACTGGTCATATGCACTCTCCCAAGAAAAAAAAAAAAAAAAACTCTCTCGCAATACACATGAAACGAAGCATGTGCGGTTTGCCCCCGAGGCTCTGTTCTATCAGCAGATGAGTCAGGGACAGTGGAAGAAAAGGAAGATCAAACGCAGGCTTAAAAACATCCTTTTTACACAATGCAGAGGATTGACCCTCAAGTTCCACATTGAGTATAACAAGCATGCTTTACTGCATATACAGACTGATTTTACTGTTGTGGATTTAGTAACAGTTTAAGATAAAAGATATTCTGTGGTTAACATATGAAACAAAATTGAACCTTCTGGCTACAATAACAAAAAAACTTACAAGAAAAAAAGCAGAACTGGGCAACAAAAACACCTTGCAAATTTCTAGGCATGATAGTGAAGGGTTGTTATGATCCAAAACTCCAAATAAACCATGTAAAATTAATATTTAAGATTCTGAGTAGTTCTTTACATACCCCAGGCTTGAGTATTATTGAAAATAATTTTACATAAAATTTCTGTGTAAATGTCAAAACGTGCAATGCAAGTAAGATGACCCAAGGACATTTCTAATCCAATAGTGTTCTGCAAGGATGTACAAGAACACGTCTCAAGTAAGAATAAAAAGAATGTTAGTTTGCTTAAGGGAGAAGTTCACCTTTTAGAAAAAAAATAAATGTACATTTTTTTTGCAGGTAAAAAAAAAAAGTGCACTATTTTTGTCTGCAGAAGCCTGTAAGCCATTGCACAAGCGATCAGCAGAATGCTGGTGCCATGCAGGTCTCCTGCAGGTCTTTCAGTATATCTGCTTTCTCGTACGGGATGTACAAGCAAGCAGATATACTGACAGGAAGAATGAGTGAACTACAACGGCGCTTCACAGAGCTGTGGTAGTTCTTTGACGACTACAAGCTGACAGCTGCTAAGGCTGCCAGGACTTGTAGTTTCTCATTCACAGAGGACTATGAACAAGTGATGTGGCTGTGTGGACGGAGCCCCACATGGCCATTTTTTTCAATTTGCCAGCTAGTGAGTGGGGAGAAGATCCCCTGCTAGCTGTTAAAGCGAGGACCGGGGGAGCAGGGGCCTGAATAAGGGTGTAGCATGTAACATGTTACGAAAGGTAAACTTATCCTTGAACTTGCTTGAGGCTGTGATTTTTGTCAAAGTGGTGTACTAACGTTAAACGCGTTACTCTTTCACCTGTTAAACAAATAATTCTCATGTATTTGTCTACTCCCTGCAGAGATTGTGGTAACCTGTATTCCCTGGTGAAAAACACATACAGTATGCCTTAACTTTTCAATACAACTGTACAAGGTTTGATATTAATATGAACCCTAAAACTGCTCATCATCAATGAACACTCTGCCTTCGGACTGTGTTATGTCATGTTTTGTAATCTGCCTTCCTATCACAAATCCTTTATGTAGTAAACGCCCACTAAACAAATTGAATAGAACACAATCTGGGCAGCTATGCTTAGTATCAAAGCATTGAAAATCATAGTGAATATCGCCAATGATGTATTACTTAAGCAAAAGATACCCATTTAGTCGCAAAGCATGCAGCAGGGCTTGATAAATTTGCTTTGAATCTAGGAGTCAGCTTAAAAAGTTAGGAGGCAGGTTTTTTTTTTTTTTTTAGCGTAGCGTGGGTTGTCAGCGCACTGGGACTTCACGTGATGCAATTTGCCACGCGACAATCATGGCAAAACCGATCCATGTTTTTAGGCGCCATTGAAAATAAGGGAACCTGAACCTGTATTTTGCGATCACAGCAATCCTGCTGCAATCCCAAAATGCCCATGTGTGAATGGAGCCACCCTGGTTCACACATATGCAATTCTGGATTTGTTTTGAAACTCACAGATTCGCATGACAGGCTACATATTTTGTGTTCCTATTAAGGTGGTTCACACAGCTGTGATTCACACGAATTGCATTTCTGAGTGGCATTATGAAAAGGTTCCTCTGCAAGTTTGTAATGGTGTGTTCCAGACTCGCAGGTGATAGAGAAGGGTGGCATGCGGAGATAAGTGCTGACATAGGATTGCTATTTGGAGGCGCAATTCTCCACTGAAGTCTGTGGGAGGCGCGACTGCCCACTGAAATCTGAGGAGGCAATGTGTGAACCAAGGCGCCAGCATGCAATTTCTAGTCACCATGGTGACCTGGAATTTGTCAAGCCCTGGCATACAGTATAGGCTTGTTAAAAAACAGTTTACCATCAGGTGATATTCTAGCTAGTGGTGAAGCCAGCTATCTCTCAGAGACCCTAGGAGCTAGATCAGGGGTGGGCAAACTTTTTGACTTGAGGGCCGCAATGGGTTCATATATTGGACCCGGGGGCCGGACCAAGAGTAGATGAATGATGTGTATGTGTCATCCATAGTAAGTATAGTAAAAATTCCCCCATAGTAAGCATAGTAATTAATCCCCCATAGTAATTAATCCCCCATATAGTAATTAATCCCCCATAGTAATTTTCCCCCATATAGTAAATTCATCCCCCATGTAATTCATCCCCCATATAGTAATTCGTCCCCCATATAGTAATTCGTCCCCCATATAGTAATTCGTCCCCCATATAGTAATTGTCCCCCATAGTAATTCATCCCCCCTATAGTAATTCATCCCCCATAGTAATTCATCCCCCATATAGTAATTCATCCCCCATAGTAATTCATCCCCATATAGTAATTCATCCCCCACATAGTAATTCATCCCCCATATAGTAATTCATCCCCCATATAGTAAGTCCCCCATATAGTAATTCATTCCCCATATAGTAAGTCCTCCATATAGTAATTCATTCCCCATATAGTAAGTCCCCCATATAGTAATTCATTCCCCATATAGTAAGTCCTCCATATAGGTAAGTCCTCCATATAGTAATTCATTCCCCATATAGTGAGTCCCCATATAGTAATTCATTTCCCCATATAGTAAGTCCCCCATATAGTAATTCATTCCCCATATAGTAAGTCCCCCTAGTAATTCATTCCCATATAGTAAGTCCCCCATATAGTAATTAATTCCCCATATAGTAAGTCCCCCATATAGTAATTCATTCCCCATATAGTAAGTCCTCCATATAGTAATTCATTCCCCATATAGTAAGTCCTCCATATAGTAATTCATTCCCCATATAGTAAGTCCCCCATATAGTAATTCATTCCCCATATAGTAAGTCCCCCATATAGTAATTCATTCCCCATATAGTAAGTCCTCCATATAGTAATTAATTCCCCATATAGTAAGTCCCCCATATAGTAATTCATTCCCCATATAGTAAGTCCTCCATATAGTAATTCATTCCCCATATAGTAAGTCCCCCATATAGTAATTCATCCCCCATATAGTAAGTCCCCCCCCTGTGTCAATTCACTTACCTTTGGTCCGCGCGTTCCTCTCGTATTCCCGCGCCGTTCTGGTCTTCAGGGAGGACTGTGAGAGGAGTTCGTCACGCTGCCCCGCCTACATCCTGACAGCTGCAGAGTCCTGACGTCCGAGAGGAGGGAGGGGGGCGGCCATCCGAGAGGGGGGGCGGCCATCCGAGAGGAGAGGAGGGGAGGGGAGAGGAGGAGAGGAGGGGGAGGGGAGAGGAGGAGAGGAGGGAGGGGAGAGGAGGAGAGGAGGGAGGGAGCGGGCGCCCGGCACACAGGAGAGCCGCATCTAAATTTGTAAAGAGCCGCGGCTTGCCGACCACTGGCTTTGCGGGAGCCTAGCTCCGCGGGCCGGATTAAAAGGTCCGCCGGGCCGTAGTTTGCCCCATTGCTGAGCTAGATCCTCCTTACTCCATGTCCTGGCTGTTCCCAACTACCTTGCTACACTGCTCCTGCTTCTACTCTACCTGATGCAAAAGCAGCAGGCACAATGAGCGCTCCATGTAACTCCTGTGGCATGTGTGAATAAAAAACCCTGGACTGACTGGTTGAAGGTATCCAGGAATTTGACTATATTTGCATAGTGCTCCCCAAGGTTTCTATCCACCCTTCCTGGACAAAAAGTACAAAGTGCCTTTACTTAATGTGTACACTGCAAACATTGCATGTTGGACTAGATCAGTAGGACAGGCTATGAAGCATGAAATATAGTTTTATTTCTTATGCATTTTAAAAAGCTTAGATCCATACCCCATATTGGCAAGTCATCTATGTACATCTGGTACCAGTAGTGGTTCTTTATTGCGTAAACAAACGCATCCCTCTTCGCCTTGTCCAACTCTATTTCACAATATGTTGCTTGCATGACATCCTCTGTTAAAAAGAAAACAAATTTTCAAGCATTGAGAATGATTCCATTAAAAACAAGGTTGTTTTTTTTGTTTTTACATACCTGCAAGTCTTATCATTCAACAGATATTACAACAAATATAAAAACACGAAACAAATCTATACATTGTCATCTTATAACCAATCTGAGACCAAGACACGTCTGGGAGTGCTGAAATCTTAGTGTCTAACTGTGCATTGTGGTTCCACTTGCCAGTCCCTTGTAGCAACAAGACACAACAGTGATTTGTGGGCCCAGTTGGAGCAACCGCAGTGTGTGGGGGGGGGGGGGGGGGGGCAGACATAGCACTCATGGAAGTGCCAAATTTAGAACACTTGTCCAGTGGTGCAGTCAGGAGGGCAGGCAGGAGTATTTACACATCTCTTTTAACATTATTTACCATTTCAATTTTATTAACAGAGGAGTTGATTTAAATCAGTCTAATAAATACACTTTCTGTTATCCTCAGTGCTAGCTTTTTTTTTTTTTTTTTTTTAGTGGAAGGGTCTTCAACCCTCATACATTTCATTACTACATCAGATTGATAGGGTCTTTTTGAAGACAGAAAGTGTGCTACATACTAATTATCCTTACTTTGGTGACTGGACACTGGCATGGGACGTACCTTAGAAGGGGTGGGCAACATGGCAAACAGAACTGCCAACAAGCCCACAAGAAAAACAAGGCTGCAAAGCTCGAACGAAACACTCAGATAACTGCTTGAAGCACCTTGAATACCAATGCTTTCATCAGCCAAAGTATGAAGAGAACAAGGTATGAACAGAGGATAAGGGGACAGCCTTACAAAGCAGATGTTTGATGCTGAAATTCCCAAGAGGATACCTACAGCCCTGGTGGAATGGGCTCTGATAGATGAAGGAACTCTGTCCCTAGGGGTGTAGGATCTGGAGATGAGATATTTAAGATAAAAAGGTGTACAAAACTCCTGTATTACTATACCCACAATTACAAAAGATGATATCTCATTACCCATTTAAATATATGAAAACATTGTTTGAAACCAGTGTGAAATTTCACCTTGAAAATTAAACTACACAGTGTGACCAAAAATTCAAACATTATTACAAACAAATAAGTGAAAGGTAAAAAAATTAACATAAAAAGTCATCTTCCAGTGTCCAATTACAGTCCAAAAAGGATGATTCACTTAAAATGTGAATAATGTGTGCTATGACCTCCGCATGCAGTTCCCCAAGGTCACCAAATAACTAGAAGAGCCACCTCCTTACCACATTCGTTAAGCAAAAGATCAAAAGTGCTTGAACACATATGTAAGATCACTCCCAGAGTCCACTCTCACTTTCCAAACACATCCAATCAATCCAAAATTCACAGGAATGCCCAGAAAAATTACAGAGTACATAAAAGAATCTAACATTATGTCACAGTCCGCAGGCGCCACGCAATGCACGTTTCATCTACAAGTGGACATCTTCAGGGGACAAGTAAGAGACCTGGAGATGACATGTCTGATCACATGGCAATGGCGGAGTGAGAAGCAGGATGCCTTTTACAAAGGCCCACATGTAGATCAAAGGCTTGCGAACAGGGGCTGTGCCTGCCAGGTAGACTTTAACAGCTCTGACCACATGCAAACAACATTCCTGTCATATTTTGGGTCAGGTCAGAGGGAAGGCAGGACAATGTTCTCACTTAAGTGAAAAGATGAGAGAACCTTAGGTAGGAAGAAATGTATTGGTCTCAAAAGCCAACAGGCATCCCTCCCACTGCAAGAGTGGGCTCACCCCTTTATTTTGAGGAAGGCTTCCTGAGCAGGCTTGGAAGTCTATGGTTTACAACAAAACAAGGCGTTAAGTCTTAGTTTTGAAGCTGACATCTGGGGAGAGTGAAAAGGTCCCTAAGCAGAGGGAGTAGCCACAAGGAGACTCATGCTTTTTCTTACAGGGTAGCAGTACCTTTTCCCCAGTGACTTTTTTGATGAATTTATCAACACATTCCCCAAATAGGAATTTACGGTCAAAAAGTATGCGTAGAATATGCTTTTTACAAGAAGGTTAGGCAGACATGGCTTTTAAATCACAAAATCTTGCTCAAATGTACAGTAAATAAGGGACAGTCTAGAGATTTGGCAATATGCTCTCACGGGCCACTTTATTAGTTACACCTTACTAGTACCTGGCTGAATCCCACACCACGCCCCTTCTGCTTTCAGAAATGCCTTAATTCTTTGTGGCATAGATTCCACAAGTTGTTGCAAACATTCCTCAGAGATTGAGGTCCATATTGACACAAGTTACTGTTTCCGTTCTATCATCTCGAACCAGTATGCCGCTATTTTTTCAGACCATATTCTATAAACTCTAGAGATGGTTTTGTATCAAAATCATAGTAGATCAGCAGTTTTTGTCTGGCATCAACAACCATGCCAAGTCCAAAGTCACGTAAATCCCCTTTCTTCCCCATTCTGATGCTCGGTTTGAACTTCAGCAAGTTGTCTTCATCATGTCTATATGGCTAAATGCATTGAGCTGCTGCCACGTGATTGGCTGATTAGCAATTTGTTACCAATCAATTGAACAGGTGTACCTAATAAAGTGGCCGGTGAGTGTACATTCTTTAGAACATCAACATAAAATAAAAACACCGAAGACATCAGCTGTAATTGTTCTGAGAGAAAGGGGTCCTCAAAGACAGATCCTGGTCACTGTTCATTTTCTTGTCCAGTTAGGAAAAGTCTGGCAACTAAACATGGCTGCAGGACAGAACTTGCATGGGCAAAAGCAGTCTTTAGAAGTGAACCCAGACTCCTATCAACAGAACCCTTTAAAAAGGGAACATCCTCAACAGAAATTGTAAGGAGTTTATTGAAAACAGAAATTGGCTGTCATGGATCCTACTATTTCCTTTTCAATGTCTCTTTTATGTGACATTTCAGTGAAAAACTTATGAAGTGTAAAAAAATCTTTCAGGACTGGGCCAATCCTTAAACTGCACAATCAATTTGTGCATATATTGGAAGTCTTTCTTGACTTAGCCTGTTTTTTAGTGTTCACAGGGGCTTGTTTGAGCTATGGAGAGTGAAGTGTGCTAGACAAAGATTAGCGTACACCACATCAATTAGAGTGCCCACAGTAGACAGCATTTGGTGGAAAGCCATAGCTTGTACCTCATAAAATGCAGAAGGAAAATACACTGTTACCACTACAAAATAAGGGTCCTCAACCCTTTCCTCCATAAAAACCTCTGAGAGAGATTCAATCACGGGTTTCTGAAGAGGGTCAGGGGAAACGGGACGTGCAGCAATTCTGGCCACTGGAAACCAAAGATTCTAGAAGTACCAAGCGTTTTCTAAAGATTTCAGACAAAGTGGAAACAAAATCTGTTTTTGTCAAACAGGCTACATGGTGTGCATATGAGAAGAAGCTAGAGTAAGATAAGGGTATCGATCTCAAGACAGGGAAGATATTTTTTTTAAAACTACCAGAGGTCGACGTATTGTCTGTTCATAATCACCTCCTGTTTATCACACCCATCAGAAAAAAAAAAAAAAAAAAAAAAAAAAAAGCAGTTAAGAGACCTAACAGATTAAAAAAAAAAAAAAGGACACATACTCACCTCTAAATTTAATATCTAAACCACTAAATTCTAATTCAACTCCTTGCAGAGCTTCTCCTAATGTTTCATGATAGTGACTAATACTTTTCTTTGTTCCAACACAGAATGGAAGGGAGAAGTACTTGTATGTCTCTTGCCGATTGTGGTATGGTCCCACTGTGTTCATCCATAAAACCACCTCCTCTTTTTCTTGATACTGCAAGCAAATCAAAAGACTTATCAGATACAGATCCACAAAAAATGTAAACACAAATGGAAATGTTAAGAAAACCTCATTAATTTAGTTCTAAACACATATGGAATAAGCAAAATCAGAAAATATTTTTGAGTCTTAAGGGAATGCTTTATTTTCAACACAATATGCATACTGTATGGTTGCACAGTACAATAGGCTTCATGTTTGAAAGTGTCTGCTTTAATACGGCTCAAGTTTTGCAGCACTTCCTGCAATTGTGTACCTGTGCTATAGGTCATCATAATGGTGCTATATATGCCAGCACACCTGAAGAGTCATTCAAAACTGCAGTGCTTCATTTTTACCTTAAAGTGTTACTAAACCCACAACAGTGAAATCAGTCTGCATATGCAGTAAAGCATGCTTGTTATACTCACTGTGGAACCTAAGGGGTTAATCCTCTGCACTGTTTAAAAATGCTGCTTGATCCTGACTTCTCTGATCCTCCTCTTCTTCCAGTGCCCCCCTCCCATCTCTTGATAAAAGAGTCTCTTGTGGAGACTCTGCACATGCTCAGTTTAGTGTGTATTGCCCTCAATCCCCTCATGTTTTGCATTGTATTATTGTTATTGTTCTGTCACATGTTCTGTCCCCCTTTGTAATGTACAGCACTGTGCAAACTATCGGCGCTTTATAAATACTGTATTATATAATAATAATATTGCTAGAGAGGTTTTTTTTCTTCTTGAGAAAGTGCATGTAATCAGCACAGGGCCAATTAGCACTGTCCAAACAGAGGTCAGGGGTTTTGCATCCTCCTAGAGCAGAAAGAAAACTCCTCCTACAAGCTTAAACATGTGCTTGGCTGGATACTGAAAGCAAGACTGCTCTATCTGCTGATGAGAAAAGGTATTTAGCAATTTACATTTACTAAAATAATTGCATTTCCATGTAGTGTGTACTGTGGGAGACCAGATAGAGTGAATGCAGGGTCATCGGTTTAGTAGCACTTTAAGGATCCCCATCTTGCTGTCAGGATGCCAGGGTGGCCAAAAGACATTGCACTGCTGTAAAATACTGTGTCTGAGGGCTCATGTCAACAAGTTTTAATGGGTAAAGAAGCATGCTTTTGAAATCAGCTTGAAATGGTTCTGAGATTATCAGAATTCTTTGCACAAGCAGTTCATCTGCATTTGTCCTATTTGGTTGCTTCTGAAATATTAAGGACTAGTATGGGGGAGGAAGAGTTCCGAAGGGGACAATACCCTGAGGACACCGACCCTTATGAGGCAGGTGTAAGGTAAGCACTGGAATTCCCACCTATTAGTGGATATGTCACTAGTGGACAAAACATACATCTGCCTCAACTGTTTCAATTACATGGCACCTAAAATACCTGGCACCTAAACATCTCTGATCCTGAGAAATAATCTTTGGAAGCATGTGTCCTCAAGCCCGCTATAGTACAATAGCACAGAAATGAGCCTGATTTTGCACTCTCCAGCTTCAGTAAATAAATCCCTTTGTGCGGCTGAAAATTGAAAGACAAATGGCTGTTTAACAGAACCCTGCTATACAGTAGCAGTAATTTGATATGTGATCACAGAAGAAAGATTTCAGTAAGTGTAAACAAATTGTCTACTATTGTAATCCACTTGAATGAATCCAGATACGTATTTCACCACTACTTCACTGTGCTTTTAAAGGGCAGAGCAATGTATTTTTTTTTCTTTTCAATCGGTGCTCCACTCAAAAGGGGAAGTTCCGCTTTAAGCCTTGGGGGGGGGGGGTACCCCGTATTTGACAGGTACCTGGCTCCCACTTCTGCTGCGATCGCCTAGGCGATCAGAAGAGGAAGTTGTCCTCCCCCTTTCCCTCCCCGTAGTCTTCTGCGACACGTGACAGGTCCCAGAAAAACTACAGGGCCATTCACAAAGCGTGGCACTTCTCAGGCATGTGCAGTGGGCACCCGGCTGTGAAGCCGCAAACTGTCACAGCCGAATGCCCACACTGAAAATGCCAGCGCCAGAGAGAAGATGGCCGGTGAAACTAGCAGTGGTGAGGACACCGCTGGAAAGAGGGACAGGTAAGTGACTGTATTTTAAGAGTCAGCAGCTACAGTTTTTGTAGCAGCTGACTTATTTTTTTTCAGGTGGAACTACTCTTTTTTACTGAAGTGTCACAACAGTATGACATTTTATTCTTTCCCATAACCTGTCCCGGACATTCCTTCTCTAAAAAGGTACAATGTAATCCCCTTTAGAAAGCAGTCCCTTGATCTGAATTCTGATGTCAAACACAAAAGTTCCCTACCTCTATTTCACACTTCCTGGGAGTGGTCCATTATACACCCACTATTTCCAGCACCCCATGCGCACACACACACACACACTATATTGCCAAAATTATTGGGACACCTGCCTTTACACACACATGAACTTTAACAGTATCCTAGTCTTAGACCGTAGGGTTCAATATGGAGTTGGCCCACCCTTTGCAGCTATAACAGATTAAACTTATCTGGGAATGCCGTCTACAAGGTTTAGGATTGTGTCTATGGGAATGTTTGACCATTCTTCCAGAAGCACATTTGTGAGGTCAGGTACTGATGTGGGATTAGAAGGCCTGGCTTGCTTGCATTCTCTGCTCTAATTCCTCCCAAAGGTGTTCTGTCGGGATAAGGTCAGGACTCTGTGTAGGCCAGTCAAGTTCCTCCACTCCAAACTCACTCATCCATGTCTTTATGGACCTTGCTTTGTGCACTGGTGCGCAGTCATGTTGGAACAGGAAACGGCCATCTCCACAAAGCTGGGAGCATGAAATTGTCCAAAATGTCATGGTATGCTCATACCCTAATAATTCCCTTCACTGAAACTAAGGGGCCAAACCCAACCCCTGAAAAATAACCCTACACTATAATACCCCCTCCACCAAAATTTACACTTGGCATAATGCAGTCAGACAAGTACTGCTCTCCTGGCAACCACAAAACCCAGACACATCCATTAGATTGCAAGAGAGAAGTGTAATTTGTCACTCCAGAGAACACGTCTCCACTGCTCTAGAGTCCAGTGACGGCGTGCTTTACACCACTGCATCCGACGCTTTGCACTGCACTTGGTGATGTAAGGCTTGGATGCAGCTGCTCAGCTATGGAAACCCATTCCATGAAGCTCTCTATGCACATTTGTTGTGCTAATCTGAAGGCCACATGAAGTCTGGAGGTATTTAGGGCAGCACAGTGGCTAAATGGTTATCCCTTCCGCCTGGCAGTATTGGGGTCGTTGGTTCAAATCCCAGCCACGGCAGCACCTGCCTGGGGTTTCCATGTTCTCCCTGTGCCTGCGTGGGTTTCCTCCGGGTACTCCGTTTTCCTTCCACACTCCAAAGACATGTTGGTAGGTGAATTGGATCCTGTCTAAATTGTCCCTAGTATGTGTATGTATGAATGTGAGTTAGGGACCTTAGATTTTACGCCCCTTGAGGGTTAGGGACTGATGTGAATGTACAATATATATATGTAAAGCGCTGCGCAAATGGACGGCGCTATACAAGTACCTGAAATAAATAAATTTAGCTACCGACTCTGCAGACAGTTGGCGACTTCAGCACTGTGCACTTCACCATGTGCTGACCCCGCTCTGTCATTTAACGTGGCCTACCACTTCGTGGCCGAGTTGTTGTTGTTCCCAGTTTCTTCCACCCTGTTATAATACCACTAACAGTTGACTGTGGAATATTTAGTAACAAGATAATTTCACGGATGGATTTACTGGACAGGTGGCAATCTATAATGGTACTAACGCTTGAATTCACTGAGCTCCTGAGAGCGACCCATTCTTTCACAAATGTTTGTAGAAGCATTATGCATGCCTAGGTTCTTGATTTTATGCAGACAATTCAGGTGCTGAAACCGATACCGAAAATTCAGAAAGCACGTGGCCAAAGACCAACCGAAATGTCTGCGTATATATGTGGGGGTGGGGAGGCTCCAATTTTTTTTTTTAACTTATGATTTTATTGCTATCACATAGTGAGTGACAGGCCATCTTTGTAGGGCGGAGGAGGCAGTGTGTGCAAGGAGGAGGCAGGAGAGGAGCAGTGTATACAGTGAGGGAGCAGTGTACACACAGAGGCTCCCTCACTGGCTCTCACTATATGTCAGTGCTGGTTTTTAAATGCAATTGCCAACTAAGGGCTAAAGGAAACTGTTTTTTGCGGAAGCTCAGGAAAGAAACTCTCCTGCCTTTCTCCGCCCCCCCCCCCCCCCCCCACACACACATCTGCAGTACACATAGTCCCATATCGGCTAAATTTTTTCCTATTGGCAAAATGCTGTTTTCGGTAACCAAAATTTTGGTGTTTCCTTAATAAATATATAAAAGACACACAGACACTTGGACACGGGCACAATTTTCATACTTTTGGCTCTGTATGCCACCAGAGTAGATTAAAACGAAACAATCCAAATGAATTTAAAGTGAAGACTTTCAGCTTTAATTCAAGGGGTTGAACCTAAATATCAAGTAAAAATTTTAGGAACTGCAACCATTTTTATACACAGTCCTTTCATTTTCAGGGGCTCAAATGTAATTGGACAAATTAATATAATCATAAATAAAATGTTCATTTTTAATATTTTGTTGAGAATCCTTTACTGGCAATGACTGCCTGAAGTCTGGAACCCATAGACATTACCAAAGATTGGGTTACCTCCTTTCTGATGCTTTGCCAGGCTCTAACTGCAGCTGTCTTCAGTTGTTCTTTGTGGATCTTTCTGCCTTTAGTTTTGCCTTCAGCAAGTGAAATGCATGCTCAATTGGGTTGAGATCAGGTGATTGACTCGGCCATTGCAGAATATACCACATATTATCCTTCAAAAGCCCCTGGGTTGCTTTTGCAGTGTGTTTTGGATCATTGTCCATCTGTACCATGAAGTGCCGTTCAATCAACCTTGCTGCAGTTGGCTGAATCTGGGCTGACAGTATTTCTCTAAACACTGCAGAATTCATCAGCTGCTT